GCACTGCTTGCGATTGGTTTTCGAATGGGAGCGATGCCTCATGTTCAAAAACATCTCAAGATTATTTTATACAGCAGAATGTGCGGCCTTAAAGTTTAAACTTGAGTTGAATAGGTTTTATTAATAGGTTTTCTTTCGTCAAGTAATCCTTCTATATTATAGTTTTTTGTCAATTGATTAACTTTATGATTTCTCAATGCTTGTAGAAATTTGTTTTTATGTTTGTCTACAGATGTTTTTGGATCTATACTGAAGTTTGTATTATTTTTTACTAATTATTTCTTTACTAATTAAAGGTATCGTTAATAAATTGATATCGACATATTAGTAAATGTTTCCAAGTGTAAGTAATTATATTAAATGTTTGACTTAACTTGGTTACGAACTTAAAAAAACAACAAAAACAAATGTTAAGTTTATAGGAAATTTGAAGAAATGTATTTCCCGGCTATCAATTTCAAATAAAATTTTCATTACCAGGGGCCAGAAATGTTTAAGTAAATTGATATCCGCATCTTTGGTCGGGCAGCAAGTGCAGCTGCCACCGCGAATGTTGCCGCAGCAGCAACATCCGCGGCAACATTTACAGCAGCAGCAGTAAGACATTCAGTGGCAGCAACAGCGGCAACATGTACAGCGGCAACAGCAGCACGTTGTGGCAGCAGCGAAACAGGCGATAAGGAAGAAAGCATAGGCGGCCAATGCGAATGGGGGAAAATGCCTGGAAAACCGGTGCAGAAATGCCAGTCGCCCTCGCCCTCGCCGTCGCCGTCGCCGTTGTCTGTGTCTGCGTCTCGGGCTTTCGCGAAAGATTCGCTGGAGTGTTGCTGGTGCAACAACTTGCAACATGCGACCACTGCACAATCGTGCGGTTAATGCAGCTGAGCGCCTGCTACAATGCAGCGACCGAACACCTGGAATGGGGCATCCACCTTCGGGACTCTCCAGCTGCAGCTCCATCCGAAAGAGGAGTCCCATCGCCAAACCCCCCAAAATGCGATTCCCAAGTTCCATCTGCACTCGCATTCCCAGTGTCTCAGGTTGCGATTGCCCGCTTTTGAGGGCTGTTTTGTGGCAGCAGGGATGTTTCACTCGAGGGTTGGGAATCCAGATATATTGGGTATTGGACCCAAACCCAAGCACACAAAACGAAAAATAAAACAACAAACTGTGGGTGAGGCCGCGCTGCTGCACAGGAGAAAAACCCGAAAAAAAAGCGTACAACAAAAGCTCAGCCAAAGCGGAAACCTGTTTTGGCCATCGAGCAAAGTGAGTTGAGTGAGCAAAGAGTTAAGTTGAGCAGCAGCATTGACCCCAACTGACTCAACGACAAAATATGCCACAGAAAAGGATGGCAACAGAGCGTCGGACAGAGATGGGAGACGCACAGAAGGAGATGGAGTTGAAGACTGGAGCCTCGGGAGATCTCTTGTATCCGAATAAATGCAGAACATGGTGCGAAATATTTAATACAAAAATGCTGAAAAGGAGTTTGGCCTGACAAAATAAAGCACCACACAAAACCAAGTACAGTGAAGTGTTGTTAACTGAAACCGCTATTACTGCATATTTTCGTTTTGAAGAAAAGAACCCTAAAAAACTTCCTTATAAATTAGATAGTTCAAAATTTCATTTTAATTACTTTACAACAGCTTTTAACTGAAGAAGTTTATCTTTAATATAAAAATGTGAAATATATTATATTGAAGTTTACTGCATAATTGAGGTATTTTTTAATAATATCAAGGCTTATCTTAATATTGTTGATTCAAATCCAGAATAGGTAAGAATGTATATACATATAATTTCACACCCGGAATGGAATTTGTAGAATTTAAAACTGAATATATGTTAGTTACTTTTACTTTAGTTAAAACTTTTAGTTTAGTTTTTACTTTTAGTTAAAACTTTTACATTTTTACAAAATAATAAAAATTTCATATCATTGATAGAAAGTTTGTGTTTACGTAAACTACGGGTTCAACAAATGAAACAAATTCGTTACAGAAAATTCCACGGGCAGCAGTTCGCGGTAAAGAGGAAAACCTGTAGCTACCAACTGCAGCAGACGAAGCGAGGTGAGGCCAAGTAAACCTGTTTACAGTTCAAACTTCGCATTCGATATATTCGATGTGAACTCTTTTTTGTTGTGCCATAGTAAGTATGTTCGTCTGGCAGGTTCTGGGGCCGCTTCTTCTTGGCCAACCGAGTTGTTTTAAGCCACCTACGAAGTCGAAGCTTAGGCCGGGTTATCTTCAGCTTAATTGGGTCATTCACACGCGCCACTTGCCCGTCGATAGAGATGGATATACGGCTGCAGAGGGAGATAAAGATACAGCTGGGGAGACACTGCTGAAAAACACACACAACTTTTTCAGCCTAGCAACAACTTCCGGTGTCTCAAAGACGAACCGAACAAGAAACTAAAGACGAGGCATACATTACATGTTAGACCACTCGAAGACGTACATATGCGAAGACGGGGGCACGACAAACGACGGTAAACAGAGGGAGATACATGTATGTAAAAAAAAGGAAAGACAAATAATACTGTTTATCAAGTGATGAAAAGCATTTTAAATGTCGTGTATGCCAGGTATTGTGCTTAAATGCATTCCCTTCATCGCTATTCTGTTGGAATGCATATGATATTGGTTAGGAGATTATTCAAAAGACAAATGCTGAATGCGGTAAAATAATTTAAGGGTTTTTAACCAAAAAAATCATGACTAATAACTTTCTCTCTTATTATGACATTATTATTATAAAGTTTTACAAAAGCTCAAGATAAAGGGCAATACAAATTCGTAATTTTAATATATAGTACGGTTTTTGGTTTTATCAAAAATTAACGCTAACAAAATAATCTGGAATGCTGGAATTAAACAAATTATTGTTAAAAAATTGAATTATATCCAGAAGAACTTAAGCCTATGGAGTAAGCCTAAAAGTTAATCGATGAATTGGTTTCTCGAATTGGTTTTGAAACAGAAAACTGTAGTATCTTATAGATGGAAAGAACGAAACAACGGTAGTTCTCTCCTACACACAATCGTTTCTACCTACAAGGATCAGACAAAATCAAAGGATCAACGATGAAGAAGAAGCAGAGAGAGAGGGAGAGAGAGAGAGAATCAAATACAGGGCAAAAACAAAGTCATCAGTCCAAAGACAAAGGCAAATAAATGGAAAAACTCAACCGACAACTTCTGATGTGCGAGGGGGACGGCAAGGGATATGTGCATCCATCATTTTCTTTTTCTAGGCGATGCTAGAAAAAGCAATAGCAACAACCACAACAAACTGCAGTTTAGGCATAGGAAATTATTTGGCAATTTCAAAGCCTCACAAAACTGGTCTTGTTCCATTTTTAAAAGCCAAGCTTTGACTCAAGTTCCCTCAAGCATAAAAACATCAATCATACGAAGTTCTACACGAAAAGCGCTTCAAGGTCTTATCAACATCAGAAGAAAAAAGGCATTTCAAAACCCGAAATAGAACTGGTTTTGAAATGCAAAAAGCCACCCACACAAAAATAAAACGCTATTAACTAATTAGGCGATAAGAGCATTAGCTTACTTACCCAGAAGCTGTGCTGATAATCCAACTTGATTTTGATTTCCTATGATTTGCCCTTACTTTTGTTGTTCATTCAATTTAGCACTGATAAATGCTTTGAATTTTAATCCAACTGCAACAACAACAAGAACGGCACAATTTTATTAGCTGGCCAATGCAACAACAATCAAAAGAGCACAAACTCTCCGCTCTCCTTCGCAAAAATCAAAACAAAACACGGCAAAAACACTTAAAACTCAGAGAGAGCGAGTGAGAGCGCGAGAAAGAAATGAGAAAAGGGAAAGAAGAAGAGAGTGATCCGCTTTGCTTTTGTTTTAGTTATTAGTGACTGCAACATGTTGAATGTGTTTACTCTTGCCCTAACGGTAAATGCTAGTGCTGTAATTTAAAAATCCTCTGCTCGACTCAAATTGAAAATAAACAATTTACAAACTGCAATTTTCTTTCGCAACACAAAATCCACAATCACTCACACGCACACACACACACACACACAAATATATATATATATATATATATATATATATATATGTGCGTGTGAGTGATTGTGGATTTTGTGTTGCGAAAGAAAATTGCAGTTTGTAAATTGTTTATTTTCAATTTGAGTCGAGCAGAGGATTTTTAAATATATATATATATATATATATATACATATGTATATAAGCGCACACCTTTGCAAAGGACGCTGATGAGGGTTGCATTTTATGTTAAAAATAATATTAACTATTTGCTTACTTTCATCTCACAATACACTGTTGGAAATTTTCACTGTTATTCTATTCATATGTCAGCATAAAACCGGAAAAACTAAACACGGTATCTGAACGAAAATAAGAGAACGACGCCAACAAAATCGGTTATGTTTGATTTCTTTTCACTTTGATATAAGCCATTCGTTTGTTCAATTAGCATGCACTTTTCAGTTATTTGGTACAGTGTATTTTTTACGAGAGTTCTCGACAATTTTCGAGCGCTAAAACAAAGAAACCGCGCTCGGCATTAAAAACCGCGTCCGACTGCCGCTGTTTTTTTGTTGTTTTGAGCGGCGCTCGTGGTGGAACAAAGGCTGGGAAAACATCGATAACGCTATCGATCAAGCGATGACTGATACTTCTGTTGCCTACGATGTTTTTGGTTTGAATGTCCGGCACCACTGCTTATTTGGTTATAAAAATTATATTATATTATTAAAAACTGATTTTGTTATGGAAATGTCTGTTACAAATGTTTTATTTTTTTTATGCTGGCTAACATTAATACTGTGGCTAAATGGGTTTTAAATAATAATTTTATTTAACATACATAATTTTAACATACAATTATACAAATAATTGTTTTTCTCGACATTCTTATGCACTTTAAAACATATATACATTTGATCACCAGGCTCGTATAACAATACGCCAATTTATCGCAATAGTTTTGGCTCGCATCCCTGGTATGGTGGTTCGTTCAGAGGCAGTTGCATCAGTCTGGCAGCACTGCCCGCTCACATACACTCAGTCGCCCCCCAAATGTATCGGAAACATGCAGCCGAGTTAAAATAGTGAAAAACTAGTTAGCAAACACAACCGATCAGTGCGGATAATAAGAATTGGCAAATCAAAATTAAATGGTAAACAAACGTTAGTCGGCGCGGCTAATTAACCACAGAGACGCGGAGAGAGTGGCCAGTGAAAGCCAGAACACTCTCTCGCCTCAGCGTGTGTGTGTGTTACGTGTGTGCGTATGTGTCTGTGTTGACAAAATACAACAAATCGCAGCGAAAACAGGAAGTGTGTGAACGATAAAGCATAAAGATTGCACTTTTCGCATTAAAATAGGCGACAAAAACCCGGGGGCGCAAGCAGATCTATACGTTACGGGCCTACTCATGCCGCAGAGCAGGGGGCGTTTTTCTAGATCAGTGACTAGTCTTATATGGCTTTATGTTTTGATGCTGCTCTGAACCACTGTGAAACATCACGTCATTTATGCCACGCTCCTTCTCCAAAAACCAAAGATCAAATTGATTTCACTGCATTTGAATATATATGTCCACATATATACAATAGTTAATGTTCGTATGCGTCATTCGCTCATCAGCTACATAGTATACTAGTGTTGTTATTGTGGATCGCTTTCGCATGTTAATGTTTTTGTGTTATTTTTTCCATTCCATTTTTTATCAAAGTTTCGCGCTATCGCCCAGTCAGCTCAGAAGCAGCCGCTCCCCAACTGAGAGCACAGAGATACCAGCTCTGGCCACTTGCTCCTCCGGATCAGGCTCCTGCTCCTGTCCCCGATCCCCTCCCCCACCCGCCAAATCCATATCCTGCTCCAAATGACGGACGGCGAACAGCAGGAGGCGCTGGTCAAGCGAGCCGAGGACGAGCGCGAGGATATATTCCGGCGCTACGAACTCGGTCTGGATCCCAGCAATGTGGTGGATTCCTGGGAGAATCCCACCTTTGAGATCTACCACAGGACGGACAAGTGAGTAACAACCGTGACTCGTAAGGAAAACCCCAATAATGCCACTGGTCTTCCCATAGATATGGCTTCTTGCACGACTCGCGGCTGCCGTCGACGCGGGATGCCCAGGAGGTGCATCGCAATAAGATCGAAATGGAGCGGGACAAAAAATGGATGAAGATGCTCAATCAGTGGCCTCCGCCTCAGGACAAGCTGCACAAGCGCGTCTACAAGGGCATACCGGACCGCGTGCGAATGGTGGCCTGGAATAAGCTGCTCGACATCCAGCAATCGATAAAAAACAATGCTGGCGTCTACCTCCGAATGCTGGAGCTGGCCAGAAAATACTCCACGGAGACGAGACAGATCGATGCCGATGTGAATCGTCAGTTTCGCGACAATCTTGCCTTTCGCGAGCGCTACAGCGTAAAGCAGTGCTCGCTATTCAATGTGCTCAACGCCTATAGCATCTACAACTCGGAACTGGGCTACTGCCAGGGCATGGCCTGTGTGGCTGGCGTGCTGTTGCTTTATTTGCACGAGGAGGAGGCTTTTTGGGCATTAAATACCCTGATAACAGACCAAAAATACGGCATGCATGGACTGTTTATTGAGGGATTCCCGAAGCTGACGCGATTCATCGATCACCACGACCGCATCATGTCGAAAATAATGCGAAAACTACACAAGCACTTTACCAAACACAACGTTGACGCCCTGCTGTACGCCATTAAGTGGTTTTTTGTCGTCTTCGTGGAACGCGTATGTAAACACAAGATGTATTTATTACAAAAATACTTAATAGATCTGATCTGCAGGTTCCTTTCAGTTTAAGTCTGCGCGTGTGGGATATTTTTATGTTAGACGGCGATCGGGTCATTCTGTCCATGGCCATCACCATTCTGTACCTTCACAAAGACGAGCTGTTGCGCCTCAAGGACATGGACGCCATCATTGAGTACTTGCAAGTACGGCTGCACAAGAACTTTGGCTACAGCGACGATGATGCCATTCAGGCCCTGGAACGAGTCATGAAGAAGCTAAAGGACCTTAAGCTGGATGTGCCGCCGCCAGCCAAGTCAAACGAGTTCCCCAGCCGCAAACTAGGTGACTTCGTAGAGGCCGATATGGAGAAGAAGATCGGGCGCAGACGCAATGATTACACAGACGCGGAGAAGCAAGTCATAACAGATGTGATATCAAGGTGGGATCTCTTTGGGTTGTTCATTTGATTTACTCATTACACTTGTTTGGCTTTTAGGCAAGAACAAAACGCGATCGATGTTCAGTCCACAGTGTCCTACGAGACTTCCGAGTGCGCAACGGGTGAGTCATGAGTAACACACAAGCCCTTACACTGTTTATCTACTAATCCTAATGCTTGCTTTAAACAATCCACTTACCCCACTTGCTGACTGTAACTATAATCTGCAATTATAATTGAAAATTCTTTTCTTTGTATTGTGTGGTGCAAGTTTATCACAAATTGTATGTATATATCATGTATATGTAAACCGAAACACGAGCAGTTCCCCAAAACGAACTTCAATTGGTTTTGACCTAGATGTAATCCTATGTACAAAGTCCTGTTTAGTTTTAGAATATGTTATGGCATATGTATTCGTTTGTTTGAGTAGCGATGTATAGTTTTTCTTTGGAGTATACATTAAGATCGTAGCCACTTTCAGCGAGTCATCGTTGGCAATCCAATCCAAATGCGTCATCAACTCGCTGGCCGAAGCAATAAACTAATTGAATAATATGCTAATATTGACCTTTTGCACGTTGGAGGGAGCTGAGAAGAGAATTTCTTGTTTGTGTAATGTAATGGATGGTTCGAAACAGTGGGACGAGTATTAGTGGTTCTGGATGGAGTACCAAGTTTTAGACGTAACGGATCTAATGGGCACTAATTCTAACTGTATATGTAAAGTATTAGCATTTAAGGGCCAAATAACCAAGGCAACCACAAAACCAGTTCATGCTTATTAAATACGCTCCACGACGTTCATATAATCGGATGATCCATTTTGTAACCATTGTCTAACATTGTCCGCTGCGTGTACATATATATCCGTTTCGATCACAAGCCACCGCTTCTGCGTGTTCCCGGCAAATCGGAGCTGCAAAAACCGAAATCAGACCTGACCTAATTCGCAATCGCTTCTGTAATTCTGTTCCTAGGTGATGGATACTCAATGAAAACGTTTGAGAGTATCACTAGCTTAGCCACCTCGCCGGCGAATAGCAGCTACTCGCTGTACAGCAATGGATTTGTGGTGACCACTATCGAAAGTGATCAAGATACCGCCCGCAGCCAGAGTATCCACAATCTCAGCTACCTGCATCCGCATCCAGTTCTGCCCAATGGGCTGCAGCACATGCGGCACAGCTTTAGCAGCGATAGCGACAGTCGCAATCGCCTCGATCTGGATCAGGCACTGGAAGTGCTCCAGCGACAGCAGCTGCCCCTGCATCCGAAGACTCCAAGCAGCCAGGTGGTGTATATCCTGCAAAACGGTGGCGGAGGCAGGCATATGGACGGGCATCGGGATGCTGCGGATGACGATGACGATGATGCGCTGAGCGTGGAGAACACACGCCTTTAATCTTAGTTGATTCGTATTTCGTATTCTTTCTTTATGTAGTTAATGTCTGTTTTGCCTATGCCAATAATAATTCCCCCTTCCCCCAACCCACCCCCAAAAAAAACCCCCCTCAAAATTCGCTAGTAATATCCACATGTACTTAGCTTTAATTTTTGTATTGTCGAACCGACAGGAACATGAATTGTTATTCATTCATTGATGTGTATATTTAGTGTTTTTTCCCACATTCTTTCTTGTCCACTCACTCTCCGATATTACCCAACCGAGAGTCTCAACTTAATATTCCAAAAACTGATAACTCCTAAGACTCCAACTATTCCGTTTGAAACTACGTACAACGATTAATATTTATTGCTATCCGCCTAACTTCTTACCCACAATTCCTTATATATACCTACTAGCCTACTGATTAGGTAACTTAAGTTTTGCTCTTGCATTTACTTTATGTTTGCCTTACAAAAGAAACTCAACTTTAGTTTATGTTAAAGCCAAAATTGTAGTTGTAATCTGATTAGCCAATAATTATATGATTATACATATAGCGAACGTACCACACAAATAAATATGATTTTGTACTGAAAAGAACACATTTGCCAGCATGGTTGATTTCACAATTAGCCTAATGTATTGTTGTACTGCAAGATATGTTGCAGGCCAAGAAAACAGTATTAGTACGAAGCATTCCACTCGATTTGCACCTCACAAACAACAAACACAAGAACACTAACACCGCTAACCCAAAATTTCACATTCCCACCAATCACAAGCACAATTGAAAACTAAATGCAATTTTCCAAAAACCAAATTTTTTTCCAACGCATTGGCAACACGACGAACTGGGATTGATCAAACCAAATCGAACAAAATACGAAAAACTCGAAAACGTATTCCCATAAACGCAATTTATTAGTTACGCTTACCGTACCCGAGGATTCGCACTCAATACGAAGTTCGCTTGCAGGTACTTCAGTTGCCTCGCACGGCTCATCGGAGACCATGTCGCTGGAGGACAATAAGTGAGTAGATATCCACAGCCAGCTACAGTCAAAATAATGTTGTATACAAGATTTACGACTAGGAAAATAAGAATATGTACTCTAATATATAAAAGGCTAAGGGAAAGAAAAATGATTTTCATCGGATTATTGTATGTTATTTTGACTGTTACTCGTTCAAAGCATCTATCGGTAGGCTTACCTTCTACGACCCCATCCTTTGCAGTATTCACCTGAGGACCGCCAACATGCTGCAGAACACTCCGCAGCGCGAGATGCTCTTGGGCACCTGACGTCAACTGCCGCCCGCGTCCATTGCGGCGCAGGCAGCTGCAGAGAATCGCCAAACTCTCACCACAGCCACCACTACGGGATTAGCAGTAGCAGGAGCATCGGGAGTCAGCCCCACATCCTCGCCCAGAGCTACGCCCACACCGCCGCCCGTGCCGCCGAGATCTCCGCTGGCGCTGGGATGACTAGCAGAGCAAAAGGCGGCGGCGAAACGGAGCGGGATTACCTAGTTCCTGATGCCCGCCGTCGTCTGCCTTTGCTTAGCCTTAAGTCTTCAAGCCCAGGCACCGCTGAAAACACTACAGCTAGGCCTTCCTTAGGTGCAGCAATAGCAATCACCAAGCTTCGAGAATAAGAGAGCTCACACACTTTGTACATACGCCGCGGGAAGCTTGGGGCACGACTTGGTAGTGACTTAGATGCGCCAAATTAAATTTACAACAGTTACGAGTTAAACAATTGATAAAAGCAATCGAGAATTACATACACAAAAATGCTAATTGAACAATATTTAAGCAAGAGCAAATCGTATCTAATACAACTACAAAGCGGTTAGAAGTCTATTTAATTGCAAATTGAATTCAACTCAAGCATATATTATAGAAATTGTTGTAAATTGTACTTGTATATACGTACCAAACAAAATACAAAGCAACGTTAAAAAGTTACGTCCATGAAATGCAAACGAATGTAAAGGCGAAAGGCAACCAAATATTAATTGAAAGCTATAGATAACAGAATCGTATGATTACGCTAGTTTTATGTATAGTTATACCAGCATAGCAGTACACGACCAGAACAAACTGATAAATGAATTGAGTATTTACCATTAATTTCATAATTGAACTTTACATAAACATGAATCACTAGTTTAAGTTTCTCAGCAAAAGGAATTATGTTTATTTTAATTAAATTATGTTCAAGAACGTCTCCAAATAAAACTGTCAACTGAAGCTAAGCTTATCAATCCCCCGCTTTTGTGTCCAGCTTGCCGCCCTTTTCGATAATCGACCCCAGATCCTTGAGCGACACCTCTCCTGTTCCTCTCTCCAAGGGCTGTGGTTGATTGGGACCGGGTTTCCAGCCCACAAAGTAGATGATTTGGAAGGTTGCGGGTATGCCCTTCTCGTTGGGCTTTGCATAGAGCTCCTGGTAGATGGCACTGGCCGCCAGCATCGTTTCCCGACTTAGATGAGCCGGTCGGTTGAAAGCCGCATTGTTTTCCGCCATACCCTTGAGATCCCACATCAGTTCGAACATGCTGGGATAGCCGATGACAAGTTCATCCGTGTCTATGGTCAGCATTGTGAAGCCGGCGCGATTGAGCAGGGATCCAATATCCCTTATCTGAGTGAAGGGCGAGATGTGCGGGGATATGCCACCTTTGCGCTCCAGCTCGGCCAGTTGGAGCGAGGAGCGCAGCTCGTACAGAGTGTCTCCACCAAACATGGAGGCTATGAAGACGCCATCCGGTTTCAGACTGCTCTTGATCCTGGAAAAGCAGCCTGGCAGATCATTCACCCAGTGTAGGCTCAAGCTGGAGATGACCAGATCCAACGAGTTGTCCTCAAACTGAAAGGGATTCTCATTAGCACTTGCAACCTTGACCCAAGCAGCTTAATTACCCACATCCAGATGCTCCTCGTCCTTCACTAGTTTCACCATATTCAGACCCGGAGTGCCCTGTGCCTGCTCCAGCATTGTGGCACTGGTGTCCGTGAGCGTCAGCTGCTCCACGCTCTCCGCGAGGATGTGTCTTGACAGATAGCCGCGACTGCATCCGATGTCCGCCGCCGCCTTGAACTCCCGCTTAATGTCGAATACTCTGTCGGCCAGGCGGAAGCCCACCTCCTCTTTCAAGTAATCGTATAGTCCAACATCTTTGCTGTATACATTGTACAATCATTAGATCTGTCTTCTACATATGTATGTTTCCCATCCTGACGAGAATAACTCACCTGAGTGCGGCTCTTTCCTTTTGTAATCTCTTGGCATTGCGGTCGAATATGTTTTGCGAGGTTTGAGTGAGTGAGGAGAGGGCGCGGAGTTCACATCTGACCTTTAAGGTCGACAGTTTTGTTAGTTTTCTTAACATAATCCGACTTTGGATCAGATCAATGCTGTAATAAGCAACCGGCTACGGCAAAATGAAAATATTACATTATGTTTTATTGAAAGTCGAGGATGGTATACCCTACAACATCTCTTTGATATCGTGGATCCTAAAATTTTTATTTGATAAAGTAATGTAAATGTATTCGATTTGTTTTTATGTGGAACGTTTTATGCAACTATTTATTTTTCAATAATTTTGTATAATTTATCACATATAATTTAATTAAAATAATTATAGCAAACGAGGTGTTAATCTATAATGAAATATAAAAGGAGAGGGTATCGAACGAACAGCTGTTGGCCAGTGCTGGAAACGAGCGACATTAAGACATTCCCATTCGGTCGTTGGTCAACATTGTATATTGCATATTGTTTTGGCGCCAAAAGTGACGTACATTAACGCGAGAAAATAATTGAAATTAAGCTTTAAATCACGTCATGAGCTTCTCGCGCAGTGCCCTGCGCTATGCGCACACCAATGGCTACACGGGACTCCTGTACACTCCTCGCGGCGAGTTCATCATCACGTGCGGCACAGATGGAGACATCCGGCACTGGACTTGCATCAGTGACGACGATCCACGCTCCAGTTGCCTGGGCGAATTCGTCATGTGCATAGCCCACACGGGCGGCCGTCTCCTGGCCTCCACGGATCGCAACACGGTGCATGCCTACACCTTTCCTGATATGGACAGTGATGGCATCCTCATGCGATTCACGGCGCCGGCAACGTGCCTCAAGGTGTCTGGCGGTTATACTGCCGCCGGCAGCGAGGATACCACTATTAAGGTGCTTAAAGGAGATACCGCTGGCAATGAAACGGTGCTGGAGGGGCACACTGGTCCAATTCTGGCACTGGACTTGTTTGCGGAGCGAAAACTGCTAGTTTCTGTAGCCGGAGACGGCCAATTGAAGGTGTGGAACTTCGAAGAGGGCAAGGAGCTGAAGACCATAGGTGGCTTGCCAAAGGTCAACAGTTTCGAGAGCGCCAGTCTATATGGCACTCCACATTTCGAGCCACAAAACGGCGAACTTATGGCCTATGCCGTGGACAACGAGATTGTATTGCTCAACACGGCCAACTGGGAAGTGGCATTTAAACTGCGCGACGACTCGGTGTCCAGTAACTACAGCTGCTGCCAGTTCTCGCCCAATGGTGAGCGCCTGGCCGCCGGAACAACCAAGGGCGAGGTGAGCATCTTCGATGTAAAGAAACGGAAGGCTGTGAAGGTGGAAATGCCGCCAAACGACTGCAATGCCATAACATGCCTGGCCTGGAATCTCTCTGGAGAGGTGGAGGTGGCCTTCTGCGATGCCACTGGCCAGCTGGGAACCGTGTTTCTTGGCGATGCAGTCGATGCAGGCAACGGCGAGGGAATAGAGGATGACCAAGCCGAGCTGTTGGGCGATGACTATGAGTTTGAGGCCGGCGATGACTTGGACACCGCAGCGGACGACGGCGATGGCGTTAGTCTGGAGCAGCTTAAGCGCAAGGTGATGAACTTTGCGGAACCCGTAGATCACGATGACGCTTCGAACCAATCCCTGGCCAGCAGTAGCCGAACTGTACCTGCACCCGTTGCTCCGCAAATCAAGCTCTTCAAGCAGCAGGCGGCCTTTCAGCCCAGTGCCACACCGTCCGATCTGGAGCATCGGTACATGGCCTGGAATGATGTGGGCATCGTCACCGCTCATGTGGAGCCCTCAGGCGATAGCTCCATCGATGTAGAGTTCCATGATGCGAGTATTCACCATGCTTTACACATTAGCAACTACAATCAACACAATTTGGCCAGTGTTAGCAGTGGAGCTTTGGCGTTGGCGTCCAACGAATCCAGCAAGTTGGTAGTCATTGCTTTGGCCGCCGCCGGCAACAAGGAGTGGTCGCTCAGCCTGCCGGATTGCGAGAGCGCGGAGGCTATTGTGGCCACCCGATATCTAGTGGCTGTGGCCACCAGCTCGAGTTTTCTACGTATATTCACCGTAATGGGGACACAGCGTGAGGTGCTAACTATACCGGGACCAGTGGTGGCCATTGCTGGACACGAGCACAGCCTGATGGTAGTTTACCATAGTTCTGCGCCCAGTCAGACGCAGCAGCATCTCTCCGCGATGTTGGTCAACATAAATGGATTGAGTTTGCGCCAAGAATACCTGCCCGTTCCGCTGACTCCTGGCCGACAGCTCACCTGGTTTGGATACAGCGACACGGGATCGCCGAGTATTGCCGACAACATGGGTCTGCTGCAGTTGTACCGGCGGAGCAGCAACGCCTGGTTCCCCATCTGCGACACCATGAAGCAAAGCACCAGTGTGTCGAACAACTTTTTTGTGGTGGCTGTATCCGAGAGACGTCAGATTGTCCAGGCGGTCTTGTGCCGCGGCACCTCCTATCCCATGACCAATCCGCGACCCATGCTCCAGGAACTGCGCATGCAGATCCCGCTTTGCGACGTTGAAGTGGAAAAGTCCGAGCTGGAGGATGCCCTGCTGCGCTCCAGTCTGATGCAAATGGAGGGTGCGGAGAAGATGCAGAAAGAGACGGCCATTAAGCTGTTTGCCTTGGCCTGCAGCAGCGAGTGCGAGACGCGAGCTAGGGAATTGATTGAATCCATTGCCTGCACGGATCTCCTTCAACTGGCCGTGAAATACGCCACCAAACGTGGACGCATCCACCTGTCCGACCGCCTGTGCGAACTGCTACCTCAATTGGAGGCCGTCCAGGAGGCTCGCAAGCAACAGACTTTGTTGGGCGCCAGCGGCATCGCGGCCACCATTGTTCTGCCCATGACTCCCACATCGGCCTCCCAGAGTGGCCCAAAGCCCAAGGCCATGGAGCTAAGCTCGGCCAAACGGGGCACCCTCAAGAGATTGGCTAATTCACCCAACATGTTTAAAGCGGCATCGACGGGATCTCGCCCCTCGACTCCGGATATCACACCCTCTCCGCTGGACACACAGGAAAACATATTCAGCGAATCGGAGTCGGATGTTCCCATGGGTAAAACCTCCGATCACAGGACTCCTTTAAATTCGGTTAACCCCTTTGCAATGAAACGCAAACTGGTCGACACTGGGGTCATCTTTGGGTCCGAAAAGCTGAAGCTGGCTAAGAAATAGTCTGTAGATTGTTCAGTAGGCTTAAGACTTATATTTTATATAAATAATATGTAAACTTTATTCCATTCTGTTAACTATATGATAACCAATTTTTATTTGAGCTTTTTAATGAACAGAGTTGTTAGGGATTGATTTAAATTTAAATAATAAAACATACTTTTATTTACATTAAATTGTACATTTTTATAAATTTGATCCTTTTAGCGGATGAGTGTTTATTCAAGGAAAACCGTTAGTTTTGCCATTTCCCAACACCAGCGAAATAGTGTGACCACTCTTCGCGAATAGCAGTAATCGGTCGCTTCGGTAACCACGATCGGCGTACAATCGAAACAGCCTGAATTCGGGACTTTCCACGATTTTCAAGTCAAAGTTATGTGTTCGCTTATTTATATTTTGTAAAAAGTCTTACACGCACAAATTCCAACATAAAAATACACACGCACACATAGGAAAAAAACGCAATATAAATGTCAGGTATAATATAAAAGGAGCCAGCGCCGTAATAAGAAATAAAATAAATTCGTTAAATAATAAACCAAATTAGCCTATATATGTATGCAAGTATTGCGGCAGGGAGTGCACTTCCTTTTGCGTTGTTCACGAAGTTCCTGCACTGGAAGGAAAGCTCGAGAACTCCGTTATAAAAACTCCACTTCCAGCGAACTGATCGCTGTTATTTGGAAGAGCTCTCTGCTGCAGACGCACACACACTGGCAAGCAAACACACAGAGACGTCGGTTTGGGGACTAAAAGTCTTAATAGGGTTTCTATTTCGAATGAAGTTCTAATGGGTTCTAGTATATGAAGCTTTCATTTTAATCATTTTTGAAATAACAATAATCAGAGGTAATATAAAAAAATCCCCTCTTGAAACCCTTGCATATAAAACAGAACGATCGCGCATCGCCCGCTTCATTCGCTAACTGATCGTCTTGCCGTACACTTCGATTGTCAGCTGTTTGGCATTTCTATATAGTATATAGTATATCAACGTCTCTGTGTGTGTCTGCGTCTGTGCTTTGTGTTCGCATTGAATAACTAACTTTTAATGGCGATTGTTCGTGTTTGTTAAAAAACCAGAAACTAATCTAGCGCCCAACAATTATCGATCCCTATCCGTTGTGTGTGAGTGAGTGCATTGCAAATAAAACAACAACAGCAACAAAAACAACAGTAAAAGATCAGTCTAAAGAACATCTAGCCAAAATGACAAAAAATAAAAATCAAAAAAAGAAGGCGTTCGCTGCACAAAACAACAACAACAACAGCGGTGACAATGGTACCGCCACCCCGCCGGACAAGTCGACGCCGCCAGCCAATGGCGGTATCAAGCCACCTGGCACCTACGCCAATGGAATGCTGCGCAATCCGCCGGTTCCGTGGGGTAAGCAATACATATCATATACACGGAGTGTGTGCAGTGCAATTCCATTATAACGGATCCATTTTTACGGCCCACAGAGCGCGAGTTTGTGGGTTCGTTTCTGCTGGAGATGGCCAGGCGCCAGGTGGTCAGCGCCCAACAGGAGTGGTACGTGGACAAGGCCGAGATGCGAAAGATGTTTGAGGAGCACTTGAGAGCCCAGCCCAACTGCAGTGAGATCCGCCAGAAGCTCTCCATTCAGGGAGCTTCGAATGTGAGTTGAAGCATAGTGATAACGCATTATCGTTTTCGTACTTCCTGTACAGTGGGCACTGCCATCTAAGCCACCAGCTAGGGTTGCCTTAGAAAAGTGATTACTAGCATTTTGTAGCTCTGATATACATACATACATATGTACATACATATTTGTACATGCTTATTTTTTTAAGAATTATGTGGATTTTTGATGAACTCAACAAACAAATATTATTACATATCGCGTCAAGATCATATTTTAATGGCTCTATTGCACATTGAAATTTAAATCCATTACTTATTCCATTAAAATGAAGTACATATGTACATATGTATGTATGTTCATATCGTTTGTGGTCTTTTAAATATTGAATATAATACGAAAAGTATGTAAACGAGCTTTGTGTGTATATTTTATCTTACACTACGCAGTGCTATATCTTAAGTCGGTTTCACCGTATTTTCCCTTTAAATAAAGTAAGTTGGAATATTTTCGTTATATGGCTGACATACCCAACTGCACATTGTATACGCACAAAATATAAACATTTCTCAAGTTACTCAATACGAACCATGTAGAACCGAGTTAGGACTGAATTCGTACGTTCGTACATAAATTGCTTTGTTCAGCTGCAGCCGAAGCATTGAAATTTTACCCCTTTTATTAGAGCCACATAGCGATTTGCTCGCTTGTCGCCTATAATGAGTCCATGAGTCATCTGGGTTCTGGGTTCATTCGCTTGGCTAAGTTCTATATACTTGCTGACATATCCATAAACAAAAATCTTAGCCTTTAGGTTTGTTGCAGAAATGTCTCAAAGGAAGTAAACAATCGAAGTGTTGTGCGCAATATATGCTGATAAAGCAACAATCGAATTATTTACACTTCTAAGTGGGTATAATTGGTTTGTAGTAGCGGTTTTGTACTTGTTCTTATGAAGAAACATATGTTAAATATATAAATAAATACATACGTACGTTTTCATAACTTTTAAAAACTACCTCAATAAAAATGCTCTTGAGTAAATTGATATGTGCTCCATGGTGTGTATGCATGGAAATAAAAAATAGGTTTTCAAAAACAGACTTCCACTATTAATAAATTTTTTATAAACAGTAATTGTACATGCATATTTTTTATATGAATTAAGTGGACTTTTTATGAACTCAACAAACAAATATTATTACATATCGCGTCAAGATCCTATTTCAATGGCCCTATTGCACATTGAAATTTAAAACCATTACAAAATGAAAACGATTTAGAGTTTACAAATACTGGAACATTTTGGGCTCTCCCCTTCAGTTTTCCATTTCAAAGGGGCCGCAATGATCTGATATTGGAAAAACCAAAAAACAAAAAAAGTACAAGTTAATTAGGCTTACAATGTGTTGGTCTTTGGTGTTCATATGGTGAAATTCGAAACGTCATGTGATTCCTCATTTCCAATGCGAAGAGCATTTGCTGACCGTAAAGATATCGCAATCCTGCTCCATTGATTGACATAAACAATAAGATCCGGAATTAAATGCAATATTTTTCCAAACTCCCTAGATTGGTTCTCTGCTGCACAGGACGAACTTTCTAATAAACACGCCGCGGGGAAATCCCAACTATCGCATCAAAGACTTCTCCTTAATGGAATTTCGGAAAGAAAAGGTTTATTTTCTGGACGAACAGCACCGACAGCGGGATGCCGCCTCCACGACCAATGCGCCCGGAGGAGCTCCTGTTGAGGGTAATACTCTGCTAGCCGAAGGTAGTCTATCTATTATTAAGAAAAAATAATCTCCATATGCATGAGAGCTTTATTGGCAGAATACAAACTGGATACGAATGCAACGGCTACGCTGCTAAAATATCAAAAGACGCTGTTGCTGAAGCCGCAGAAGGATTTCGAGCTCAACTCCCTGGGATGCTATATCTGCCAGGAGAACTTCGAGACAATTGAGAAGTATGAGGAGCATGTGGAGTACCATGGCGACGATTCTGATTTTCAGTCCCTCAAAAAGATGGTGAAATAGTAAGTAATACAAATTTGTTTTTTATTTCCATTACTCTTTACTCATATTATATCCTTTTCGCAGTCCTTCGTCCATGGTGTCCCTCTCTTATCAAAACTGTGTGGACAGCCACTACTTTGGATTCACCCTAAAGACCTTCCGCAGTGATCTGGTTGTGGAGAAGTTCATCATAGTGCAGTTGCGCCAGTTTTACTACGTGTATGGTGCACAAATGCCTCTGCATGTGCCTGAAAGCGGGGAACTTGTATTCTTCGTGGACTCCCACGTCTTTATGATCCTTCGGGAGCAGCCCATCATTATCGCGTTCATCATCCAGGGGACGAGATATGTGGAGCAGCATCACTTCATGCGCACAGAGGCACTGCCCAAGGCTAGCTTCAACATCAATCCATATCGACTGTGTAACAAGGAGATCTTTAAGAGCAAGGGTCTTCCACCAGCCACTCCACCCACTCAGGTTTTGAGCGCTCTGAAGCACGAGGATGCCCAGCTGCGTTTGGCCGAGTTAGATAAGCACTATCAGGACTACTGCGAACGGGGTAGGGAGATTACCCAGGAAAATCTTACCGGCACACTGCGCACATTGCTCCAGGTGGAGGACATGGAACGGTTGCAGCGTTATCTCTCGCTCAAGCAATCGAAAGTGGAGCTGCACCAGTTCGGGCGGGAGCTTTCGGTTAAGATGCGACTGGGTACCGCTACTATGAGCGTAGAGGACATTCTCTCCCCTGGCGACGATGTGCTAATCATAAACGAAAAAGGTAACCCGAAATCAGGTGTACGCCAGATGTTGGAAAACAACAATAAAGTGCTCGAATTGGCACTCAAGGATTTTGACTCCATCTTGCAGTGGGCTCGCAATGTTGACGAGCAGTTCGGATCGCTAAACAAGCAGCTACGAGTCTACTTTGCCCGCATCCTTGGTGTTTCAACGCAGCGGGTGAACATCACTTGTGAACGCCAGCTACCGGACAACACCACCTACACCCTGATATTTCGTCCATTGCGGGCAATAATGCGTTATCAGTATCGAGCCCTCCAGCAGCTGACCCTTACCAGGCACAGTGACGTTCAGCGGATCCTGTTTCCCAGTGAAATTCCACCAATGCCGAAGGCCAGTGGAGTACTTCAGCTAAACAACAAAGGCATATCGAGCAATCCGGAGCAGATGCAAGCGATTCGACAGATTGCGCTAAGCCAAAGGCTTCCAGCTCCCTACATCGTGTTTGGACCACCGGGAACGGGCAAAACAGAGACCATCGTCGAGGCCATTTACCAATTGTATGTAAATCGACCCGAAACGCACATCCTAGTGATGGCTGGTTCAAATACGGCCTGTGACGAGGTGGCACTTCGACTTTTACGGGCTATCGCCAAAGCACCAGACAGTCACCCACGACCGCTGGCCCGTATCTTTGCTGCCAGCTGCGATCGGCGCATCGACAATATTGACGATTTGCTTCTAGAGTATTCCAACATGTATGGTCTGCACTTTTATCCGGCCGTGCAAGCGGTGCACCAGTATCGAATCGTGATTTGCACACTCAGTTTGGCTGGAAGGCTGTCTACCGGAGGCTTCGCCACGGGCAATGTGTATTCGCATGTTTTTGTGGACGAGGCAGCCGCTTCCACGGAGGCGGAGGTTTTAATGGGCATCACCTGCACACTATCGCCGACGTCGAATTTGATCCTGTCCGGGGACCACAAGCAGCTGGGACCGGTGCTCCAATCGCAGAGGGCGAACGAATGGGGTCTTGGACTGACCCTTTTCGAGCGACTGCTGCAGAGAAAGTGTTACCAAGTGGACCAGGACGGCAGCTATAACGCGGCTGTGCAGACGCGTCTCATTCGCAACTTTCGTTCACATCCGGAGATTGTATCGCTGTACAACAATCTGTACTACGATGGAAAACTTCAGGCTCATGCCCCCTTGGGTGAGCGATTGTAGTTACTACATAGCATTGATCCAAATAATATATAAAGATATTCATATTTCAGAAACGGTTTGCCGCTACCAAAACTGGTTTCAGCTGCCCAATGCGAACTTTCCTATCATGTTTCATTCCGTTTTTGGCACAACGACGAACGCGAAGAGCTCTCTTAGGTCTGTGGATAGAATGGGGGAGAAGAAAATCTGATATTAATACATGCGCTTTCAATTTTCCAGCCTGTGCAATAGTAAAGAGATCGACGTTGTCATGGATTACGTGAAGGATCTCATGTATTTCGGCATCAATGGTGAGAAGTTATTGCAGACGGATATCGGTATCATATCGCCCTACAAGAACCAGTACCATCGCATTCAGGAACAGCTTAATATGCGGAACTGGTCGCAAATAGATTGCGGATCCGTTGAGCTATTCCAGGGCAAGGAGAAGCATGTGGTCATCGTGTCCTTTGTGCGCTCTTTTACACCCAAACTTGGATTCTTGAACAATGAACGGGTATGTGTTTGTTTATAAAATTATAGAAGGAATCATGAAAATGAGAAAAACATTAGTCCATCGAATTAATTATATTTCACCTCGCTTAGCGTTTGAACGTTCTGCTTTCGCGTCCGATATCTCTGCTTATTCTCATCGGAAATCCACGGACGCTAAGCCAAAACAAGGACTTTTGCCATATTATCGATATGTGTCGTGAACGGAATACCTTGGTTGGGGTGCCATACCTTAACGAAAATTTTGATCCGACTAAAAAGAACGGAGGAGCAGCTGTGGATCATCCTACATCAGGGCTAGGGCAACCCCTCAAGCGAAGTAACTATTTCCAGCAGTTCAAGTGTCGCCAGAGAAACAAGTCGTGAGCAAGGAAGTAACATTCGAATACAATTCAATATCGTGCATTTCCGCTCCTATTGCGCAATAAAACGGAATGAGATGGTCATAGTTTTTAATTAACGGATTGCTTGTTTCTCTGGCGCAATCATTCTTAAGTTATATCAAACCTCTAATCCACATATTTTCGCAGATTGCCGTGGTAAGAATCCAGCTCAGGCCGTAAAGCTGTCATATTCCAAAAATGAGCTGCTCAAGTTGGGGATGGAGTGTAAGTCGAAAAAATCTGAACTGGAAACATTGTTTGACGAGTTGCCGAAGGTTCCAAGCTCTGACGACCTCAATGTGGACGCAGTTCGTTCGCTAGAGGACCAACTTAAAGATATTAAATTGGAAAACAAATGTACGGATGCAGGACCATCGATCCCAGTTATTCCTGCTCCACGATCAGCTGCACCATCAGTAAGACCAAGACCGAGTCCTTCTGCTTCACCGGGACTAGCAATACCAAAACTCCCGGTTCCCAAGTCATTAGATCCCCTTTCCAAACGCGAGGAGCGCCATATTAACGGAGTGCCTTGTGGCATTGAAGCGCTGCATTCGGTGGCTCAGACAACCAGGCCTTCGGCTTACAACCACATTCCCAGTGACCATCTTCGGTTCGAGAACTTGCGTCGCACGTCCGAAGAGATTCGTCGTCAGACGGCTTTCAATGAGCAACGCCGTGCTCCGCCATTACGCCAGCCCCATGGAAACTGGCACGAATTCGATTGGACACCACTACAGAGCGATCGAGCGCCCCCACAAAAGAAGAAATCCGACTGTATCATTTCATAATTGTAGCTTCTTTCGGAGCACATCACAATCTATAGGGACGGTGCGGTTGCTTCACCTAAAAAGCGATCTCGCTGTCCTCTTTTTGACTTTGCTATTGGCATTTGTGCGATCTGCGATCATCCATGCGCCAAGTAGCAAAAAAAATACCTACCAAATAGACTCGCACCTGATGTGCGTCCATCCGAAGAATAGGGCCAAAAGAATGGTTCACCTCAGCCACTGAGGTAGCCTCAAGCTTTTGACCTCCATTCTTCGCTGGGTCGCATCCTTTGCGAGTGTAATTGATTCGAGCATATACATGGAGCGCTCAAAGTGAACACTTTTTGGTTGCAAAAGCCAAAAGCTTTCGAGTTATACTACGGATCGTAATCCGCAATATAAGCCGTAAGCCTTGTATCCACTTCTGACTCCAGGTTTGTCTTTGAGTGTTATAATCAAATAATAATTTACTGATTAGGGGGACCAGGATAAATCCATCCATATTTGCCCCACAAAAATAAACATGTAATCCGCACAGGATAATTTCTTTTGTAACCATTCCATATTTAAGTAAAAACATGTGGACTCCTTTGTTATGAGGTATATTTCCGTGAACATCCAGAATCCATATGTAATATATGCCCGTCTTTAAATAATAAATTCTGAACTATCTAATTAAAAGAAAACTCTCCGGTTCATTTTGAGGGCGAGGAAATGTTGGGTCTGGTTCGAGTTTAAGTTTTGGCTTGAGTAGGCTCGGATTTGGCTTAGATTTTATTTGGGTAGGTTCGATCTGGAGTGTATTTCAGGTTAATATGAGTTATTTGTTGATTTTTTATACCCGTTACTCGTAGAGTAAAAGGGTATACTAGATTCGTTGAAAATTATGTAACAGGCACAAGGAAGCGTTTCCGACCGTATAAATTATATATATTCTTGATCAGGATCAATAGCCGAGTCGAACTGGTCATGTATGAACGCCTCGATCTCAAGAACTACAAAAGCTAGAATGTTGAAATTAAGAATGCAAGTTTGTTTCACGGCCACACTTTTAAAAAATTTTTTAGTTTTTTTTCATTTTAATTTTTTTCTCTATTTCTACTGATATTCCAGAAAATGTTGAAATTTCTCGTTTGCACTTCCACTAGCTAAGTAATGGGTATCTGATAGTCGGGGAACTCGACTATAGCATTCAACTTTTTTTTTTTAATTTTTCTGATGTTGAAGAAATACAAAAAATTAAGAAATGTCCCAAGGCTGAAGTTCTAAACTCAACTTATCTTAATCGGATTGTGAAGGGGCATACCTCTAAATGTTTCTTAGCATAATTTGAAGAGGTTAGACTTGTATGATTTCATAACAAGTAGGCTTTCGCAACGCCTTCAGCATCAGGGCCACAACTCCATGGCTTAGAACATTAGTTTTTCGTCACCACTTTCACCGAAGTGAACTAGTAGAATAAAACTATTTAAGCAAACTAAAAATTTTTAAGTATACCCAACTAGCGAACTAACGTAGGATACAGACACCCCACTCTGCATTGACGCAATGCATTCATCAGGCAGACACAGTCGGGAAAGTGTTGGAGCGGGCTCAAATTCCCGCGGTGGAGGAGCCAACATCAGCTCTGGGGTCACAATGCGATACAAGTTGGCGGCACCTCTATCGTCGCAGACGGCGGGAACACGACGAACTGTTCACGGCGGAGCGGGCGATGGGGGATCCGATGCGGCTTGGAAGCAGACCGGCCGTCGCCTTGGCAAGTACAATCCTCCTGCTCGGCTGGTCCAGCCCACTGTAGTCTCCGCCCTGAGGGCCAGCAGCAACAGGCAGACGGCCAAGCAGAAGTTCGAGAAAGCGGGCCATGAGAAGCCCAGATCAGTAGTAGTTCCCTTGGCGAAGCACGCCGAATCGGAGGTCAGGAAGGAAACGAAGCAGCGTGTGATGTCGCAAGCTGCCAAACAGGCGGCACGGGATCGCCTCTGGCCCAGCAAGCCGGCGGGCGTGGGCTTAACCTCGAATTTCCGCAAGAATAGGCCCCCAGTGCCAGAGGATGCCAATCACTTGCCGGATTTCGAGGCCATGTTGGAGGAGACAGAATCCCAGGCCGTCAAGTGTCAAGTGCTAGCGGAGACCGGCATCCAGACGAACGAAGATGAGATCCTCGACCATAAGCTTATCATCGGCGAGGTGAAGATGCTTTGCCCCTCGGTGCTGTTGGTCGAGCAATTAGATCGGGAACGGCTCGAGCTTAAGCGGCAAAGAGAGCGGCAATCATTGCGTAGGTTTGCTGCCCACGAGGAGCAGGAGGAACTGCATCTGGACGAACTGAAAGAGTTCTCTTTCCGGAATGCTGTGACCAAGAGGGCGCCCAAGAAGCCACCAACGTACCAATACTCTCCCTATGATAATCAGTATCAGAACGTTTTCAAGTCCATGGATGATTTCTTCAGCCGGGTCCAGGACTCTGTACCCAAGTCAGAATCTGTGGCCGACATCCGGGAGCGCATCAAGCGCAAGGAAGAGGAGCTGCTCAGCCTTTTTGACAACGTCGACGTGAACGAATAATCTGAAACGGATGAACATCCTAGGGAATTCTATGTCAAATTTTTTGTGCCGTACTAGTAAAGTTGAAGTCCTTTTCGATTCGGCGTTCAGCGGTACTTCATTATGGGTTTTCGTCACCTTTTCTTGATTAATTGTGCTTGGGTTCATTACCGCCATATGACGTAGTGGTACGATCCAATCCATTCCTACTTACATTCCACCTGCAATTGAAGGAAAGTTGTATGCAGATACCACTAAAGCGAAGCTGTTGCTGATAATATGCATTAAAAAACGAAAAACACTCCTAAACTGGTTACTCCCATTAAAGGGTATTTTGGGTTATTTAGGCCAGCGCCTTTAACTTGTAGGCTTCATGATATTGCCTCTTTAGGTACAAACCAGTGTTAATGCTCCAATAAAATCTGTCTGAGCTACCTAATGGCATGGAACCAAACCTTTTGGAGAAAATTCAGCGTCAGCGCGAGTGTCCAACCAGTGCAGACATTAACTAAAGTCGTATTTAAATTGCGCTTAGCCAAGCAGCAATGCCATACTAGCCAGGCCAGCAGCTGGCACTTTCTCTCTGGGCCGAAAGCGGGGTCAAGACGTTTTCATGTCGGGCGGTTCTTCAGTCAACGCTGGCAAGTGATCGCGCGAGCAATGGAAAATACGCCTCTTGAGTTTCCACACGAAATTCGCGATGTGGAGGAGTCCACCAATGCTGAGCTACTGGACCACTTCCATGGTAGGTGTATGGGTTGCGGAACAGCTTGTTTAGTTAATGCTTCACACCATATGACAACCAGGTGAGCGAACTGGCTTCGTTCAGGTGGGTGCGGAGGGATATTTCTTTCCCCACAAGTACAAGGACGAGGCCGACAGGTACTACAACTTTGAGGCACGTCCGGACGACGTGTGGATAGCCACGGTGCCCAGGTCGGGCACCACTTGGACGCAGGAGCTCATTTGGCTGGTGGCCAATGGGCTGGATTTTGAGCAGGCTCAGCAGCGACCACTAACCGAACGCTTTCCATTCTTTGAGTGAGTGCTTGTCGCGTGTCCTGTTCATAATTAAGTGAGCTTCGTTCCCTCAGATTTCCGCTTTTTGTGCATCCCAAAGTTAAGAAAGAGCTTCAGGATGAAAACCGAGACTCAGCCGAAGCTTTGGAGTTCATTGAGAAGATTTCCCGACCGGGCTATGAGGCTTTAAGTGAAATGCCACGCTCGCAACGAAGGTTTATCAAAACCCATTTTCCCTTTTCTCTGATGCCGCCTAGTGTTTTGGAAAATAGGTGCAAGGTGCGTTTTTGTCCTTAATACAACGAGAAACTAGAAGTACCAAAACCAGACCAATATCATTTCAGGTGATCTATGTGGTCCGTGATCCCAAGGATGTTGCAGTTTCCTACTACCATTTGAACAGGCTCTTCCGCACTCAAGGCTACGTCGGAGATTTTGAGCGCTATTGGCGCTATTTCCAAAACGGATTAAGTAAATGCTCGTTCAATGAAGTTAGCATCCTTAACCAACTGTCTTCCAGATCCGTGGCTGCCCTATTACAGCCACGTTAAGGAGGCGATGGAGCATGCCCACTTGTCCAATGTGCTCTTCCTGCGCTACGAAGACATGTTGGCGGATCTGCCAGGCGCAGTCCACAGCATAGCCAGCTTCCTAGAGTGCCCACCGAAGGCCGAGGATATGGATAGGCTACTCGATCATCTGAGCATCAAGAGCTTTCGGGAGAACAAGTCCGTAAACATGCACGAAATGGCTTCCGTTGGCGTCCTAAACAAAGGAGAGGCAGGATTCGTGCGCAGCGGCGCCAAGACAGCGTGTCAGCCGCAACAGGAGTTTGTCGAGAATCCAAAGCTTTTAAAGGTCGCCAACGAGTGGGTGGAACAGAATATTAAATCATTCAACACCATGTAAAATACCTGACGCTGTTGGCTATCTTTACTGGTGTTTTTTGGTCTGAATTTGAAACGGAACTAGACTATGACTAACGTATTTGCACATTGAAACTATCAACACTCGCACTTGCGATCTGCTTGTGGATTTCGTTGACTTCTGCCTGAGTTAAGGTACGTTCCATATGGCGGTAAACAATGCGGAAGCAGACACTCGATTTGCCCGTTTTTGGGTGCTTAAACTTGTCCACTAGGTTGATCTGCATTGAAGAGAATTACTAGTAGAATATGATACGTTTGGGAAAGCTGAAACCAACCTGCTCCACCATATCACCAGCCACAGAGCGGACCAGATCGTAAAAGTCATTGGGCGAGAATCCGGCATCCACCTCAATATCCTCGGGCAGCCAGAACGACAAGTCATTCGTGCACTGCGGATAGTGGGAGATGGGCTTGTACTTGGGCAGATTGTGCAGATCCTTTTCGCTAAACTGCGACAGAAAGCCACTGTCGTTCGACCAGAAGAGCCGAATGTCGGGTATATCGAACAGCACCATGGCCAGTCGCTCGAGGCCGACGCCAAAGGCGTAGCCCATCGATTGATGAACACCCGATCTCTGCAAGATTTCGTGACGCATGATGCCGCAGCCCAGGACCTCCAGCCAGTTGTCCTTGAAATAGATCTCCAGCTCCCAGGAGGGCTGGGTGAAGGGAAAGTAGGTGTCCACCCATCTGTACTTGATGCGCGGCCCAAACAGATCCTTTGTCAGGCCCACCAGCACGTGCTTCATCTCGTGCTCCATCAGCTTGACGGCCTCGAGCGTGTGGCAGGGCTGTTTGGTTTGATCCATGAACTTGGAGGAGGGCAGGATCAGCTTGGGATCGGCCAGCGAACCCGACCACGTCTCTTCGAACAGCTCCAGGCCGGGATTGCGCTCGAAGAGCTTGTCTTTGGTGACCAGTCGCACGGCGTCCGCCTGGTGGAACACGGGATAGTGGGTGCTGTCGATTTCGTCCCGTCGATATACCTCGCCCACCACCAGAAAGTTGTCCAGCCCACCCGAGATCAGTTCCACCTGGTGTGCGGTGGTGTGGGCGCGCAGCAGCTGCTGCTGATTGATGTAGTAGCAATCGGACTTCTGTCGACTCACATGGTCGGCGGGAATCAGCAGATTGTCGAAGTTCTGCTGCACAGTGACCACCGGATTCAGTTTGTCATAGACAGAGAACAGTGGATTGCCCCTTTGGTTGCGATACGCTCCATAAAAATAGTTGACGATCCTCTGGCGGATGATGGACAGCGGGTGGTCCGTCTGCAGGTGCTTGTTGGCCCCCAGGTAGGAGAGTATCTTGGGCGTTACGTTCGTCCATCCGTCGGTTGCGTACGTGCTTCCATTGACCTCCAGCTGCGGTGGGGAGGAGGGCGACTTCTCGGGCGCCGCACTGCTGGCCAGGCATCGGGTGGACTTCACCCAGTGACGTGCGCCCTGCACTCGAAGTGTCAGAATCATCTTGGAGGGACTTTTATTGATTGGATGCAATTATTTATTGCATTTTTTGTTATAACTTGTGTTATGTTAAGGTTACATATCGATATTTCTCTAGAGCAATCGCAAGGCTTCAGCAGCACACACTGTGCTGTTAGGCGCATACTAACAGAGCCGTTGGCCCACCTGTTGGCGCCATCTGCCGGAAAGCGAGTGCACTTTAAGCAAGTGTTCAAATGTTTTTTTTTCAAATTTTAACTAAAATCTGTGATGAATGTTTTAATAATTTAATTATATTTATAAGAGATGTCGAGTGAAAGAAGAAATACAACATAGGCAAAAAAAAAACCGCTAGTAAAAATATTTTCTTTCCCAATCCCATAAAGCCAAGTCTTCTCTAAAGTTATATCGTTATTATTTATTTTTCTACAAACATCAACAGATTTGTTGTCACCTATATCATACATGATGGCAGAGAAATGTGATTACAATGGACCCAATACGAAACTAGCTCATTAAATATGAGGTTGGGCTAAATTATTAAAGTTCATTTTTGAGATGCTTGCGTTGGTATGTTCTTTTGTATGCTTCTAACCCATATCATATGAAGGCTGTGCCTAAACTACATCAGTTCTGCTGCTTTAGACGAGGGGATAGCTGGAGGCGCTGGCAATGCCGCACTGGTTATCCTTGTTGCGCAGCATCTTGATGAAGCCCTTGTCGCCCCAGGTGGTGCCCCACGAGTTCTTCACCAGCCAGTAGTCGTCGCCGGACTCGTCGGTGCCATAGCCAACCACCAGAACACCGTGATCCAGATTCTGGGCATCGCACTGGGGCTCGTTGTAGACGCCCTCCGAGTAGAACTGGAAGGATTCGTGGGAGGCATCAATGGCGACGGCGACGGGGCCAACGGTGGCCACAGCCTCGGCCATCTTCTTCTCATCGCCCTGGGGAATATCGGTGAATCCACGGTCGGTGGCTCCGATTGCGCCCTTGTTGAAGTGGCAGGAGTCATCGATGGCCTCGTAGGGATAGGACTTCTCGGTGTCGATGCCTCCATTATCCTTGATATAACGGAAGGCATTGTCCATGAGACCGCCGTTGCATCCATTGTTGCCGTACTTGGTGGAGCAATCGACCAGGTTCTGCTCGGACAGCGAGACCAGGACACCGGATTTGCGGAAATGCTGACCCTCGAGTGCGCCTGTGCTGGAGAAGGCCCAGCAGCTGCCGCAGTGTCCCTGATCCTTGACGGCGGTCACAGCTCCCTTGGTGCGCCAGTCCACAGACTTGGGCAGAGTTACATGGGCCGGCGAGATGAAGGTGACTCCCTTGAAGCTGTCATCGGTGGAGCTGCAAGCGAATTCATTGAATGGAATGAGTACGAAACTCTTGGGTGGCTATCCCATCTGATCCGGACTTACCGCAGCTGCTTGTGCAGAGTGTAGTTGAAGCCGTTCATCAGCTGACGGAATTCGTGGTGCAGCAGGTCGGCGTACTTGTTGACCGCCAGTTTGAAGCTCACCTTTCCCTCGGCGTATCGCTGGTTGTGCTTGGCAATCTTGTGCTTGTTCTCATTGAATATCTTGAGGCGGAAACGCTCCTCGGTATCATCCTGATAGTTCTTGCGGTGCTCCAGCTGCATAAAGAAAAATAGCACAAAGTTAGATAGTGCACTCTCTTATCAAAGGTAAGCGTTATCGATTGAAATTCGTGTACTAGTTTTGCGATAAGATACAAGGCAGCCTAATGAAGCGGTAGCTTTTTTGGGAACTCTACTGAAAACTCTCGTGGGGCAGAGACCAAATGTTTTACGTAAACTGGATTTACGATCGCAGAGGCAAAAGTTCCTAATCTACAGATAACCTTTTCACAGCGCCGTCAACCTGGCACGAGCGAATCGCCGTGGAAGATCGGTCACGGTAGCTAGCTCCATAAATCTAGCATGGTCATAAAATAGCGTTTAACGCTTGCCCAACAACGGCAACGTGGAAACGTTGTTAATGTTCCAGGTAGTAAACAAACAACCCAACTGCAGGTAGGAGGAACGATGGCCAGCATGGAAAAATGCGCTCCATCTGCCTGCAGTGGTCCGTGGACTAGCGACCTCCTTCTCTCCAGCTCGGGGTTGTTTCTCCGACCCGCATGTTGATACAGCCACAGCACGGAAATAGCACGAACGCTAAACAAATGATGGCACAGAATTATAAGGCCATGGCAGGAAGTCGACTAGGGTGCTATCCATTACACTCGGCAAATGCCACTGAATATTAGAGGGGTAGTTTTCGATTCCTTCTGACTGAAAGTCGAATGGAAAGCATTCAATAAACCCTCAAAAATCCAAGGGATTACCATGTACGTGCCAACTAAACATTGTTTTCTAGCGGAAAATAAACAAATTGCATTTTAGAAACAAAGCAAAATCAATGTAAATATAAAATCATGCAACACAACTGATTAATTCTGCTCACGAATAGCCTAGTATCGAACTTAAATGCATTTTTCAAAAGTGTTTAAGCTAAACAAGTTTACATCCGACTTTTGAACGCGTAAAGTGCCTTGCTAGTCAGAGAAATGTGAAAACAAGTGTTTGTTGTCGAACTTATCCTGAACTTAGTCACTTAAGTGCCCGTCGAGCGACGCACCACAAGTATCAGAGGGTTTTGCGATATTCCAGGGTACTTGGCACTTTGAACTGAATGCTCGAGTGGCGCTGTCATGTGAGAAACATGCATATGTAATTAATTTGGACATCAAAGCGGACCACCAGCTTCAGCCCGAGCAGCAATTGTCGCCCCAAATGGACCGGATGGGGTCCACGGACCGCGGCTGACTCGTATAATTGACATAATTGAATCGAATTCGAGATATGCAGCCAAAAAAGAAGAAAAAGAAAAACCCCGCCTTTAGCGCACTGACCTATTGATTTTGCTGGCAAACGGCGTGTGTATGTTCTCGATGCGGCATGATAAAATTCACACATTTATTGTAGACTTTTGTAGAAAATGAATTGCGAAATAGAGTTAACAACTTAAAAACACCGTAATTAAATGCACGTGCGATCCAGGCACTCGTCGTATACGTTTTGTATAACTACATACATATCTCTGGGAGAATCTAGAGATATAATGGCTTAGGAAACATCGTTGCAGTTGCAGTTGAGAGCTTGGACGATAGTGGGTGAGTATCTGACAGCTACTATAGCTACGTGCAGTTCGATCTCGTGGCCTACAGTCGCTCCATCTGAATGGCACAGCCATCGTCCTCCTGATCCGCACTCAGGCGCCGTTCCGTGGGCGAAGTGGCCGCGTAGGATGTGTGTGGAACAGGTTGTTGCTGCTGCAGCTCCTCCTCCTCGTGATTCTTGTACTCCCGCCGCTTTCGCATGATGTAGGCGAACACGAAGCCGTTTATGACCAGCATGGCCAGGATAATTATCGTGGGCCAGACCACATCCAGCGACACATTCAGACTGTTGGCATCGGTCATGGCAGTGATTGCGAGCGTTGATGTGTGATTTGTTCCTTCGTGGCTTTATGTAACCTGGGTGCTATTACTGCGGTTTCCCTCCCGATTTCGTAGCACGTTTTTACGATGACGCGCGTGCTTTTCCACTTCCACTGCCACTGCTGGGGGCCTCTGAGTTGGCTCCTTTTATTTCTATTCTCTCAAATTTCTATATATTCCGCACTGCTGGCTGCTCAAGCGATCCGTTGGCGTGGAGCGTTGCTTCGGGAATAACAAAAAGACGACAGCAGGCCGCTTTTGGTGGTGGTCCGGTCCGTTCGCTCACACAATCCGAGAAAGAGCCGAGTTCACACACTCTACACTTCGTATCGCCGAAATGAGAGCCCAACCTACGTATGCGAACTATTTGGAGGAGGCGGTGTACTCTATATATTTCTTGTTTCTTATGCTTTTCGTGTTTTTCCTTCTTTTTGCAGCGCGCGCATTGTGGGCTGCTTGATAGCGAACCGGTTTCGTTTCGAAGCGCACATGATTTATAAGGATTTCAATCGGGGTAGTATTCAAATATGTTTGCTCCAACCGGTTCGCAAGCAGCAGAAATATTTAATAAAAAAATATGTATATATCTTTAAAAACAAATACGAAAGAGGAGCATAGATGCTTTTGCAAGTCAGCGGAATTTTTCCCGTCTTGTTTACTTACGGCAGCCGATTTGTTTGTGCACTTGTCGCTCAAATTTCGAGCTAGAAAGCTCTTTCGGCTCTCGGAAACAGCAGCAAAATGCCAATTTGATAAGCAACGTCGATTTGTAGCGCGTCATTTCCAAAATGCTCGCGGCCCCCCGGCACGACTTGTTGTTAAATATTTGCCAAACCATGCGAATGAGCTGAATCTGAAACGCATTAATCTGGAAATTAAGGCTTATCACTTGCTCGATGCTGACTTTTGCAGCTGTGCATTTGCAACCGACGACTGCGGCACTTTGGACTGCACACCAATTACAGATAATGCCGTTTCAATTCATGATATTTAGACTTTGAAAGCTCAGGCGGCATGGTTCTCATTTAAATTGCGCGCCTACTCACTTTAGGAGAGTGCATGGGCAGCACTGTTTGCGGCAGTGCGACCAACATGTTTTTCAGTATTTTACATGGCACTTCGCGGTCTCAATATGTAAAAATGCATATGTAAACAAAATGTCACTTTTATTTAAAAGTGAAAAGCTAACAAAATTAATTTGCTAAATAAAAGAAAAACTAGGCTTGGTAAGTTCGCAGTAAGTGTGGAAATCACAAATGTTCAGATTTTCTATTTGCGTGAGTAACTTTTTCCGTAAATATAAATCTTATTGCTTCAGTTGGTCAGACTTAGTTATTTATTAACAATAATTGTAATTGAACTGCCCTAACAATTGACTCACATCATTTATTGAGAGATTTAATGAGCAGAAGAAGAAAGGAAGTGAAATAAAGTTGTTTCGCACACAGCGCATATGCGGGTGCAATTGAAACTGAATTTGAAAAGTGAAGATAAACCAGCAATTACGCCCATATGCATATACTATATAGATGTAAATCCCCTCCTATCACATGGGATCTGCACAAACAGCTAATTGTTATATGTACGCCCCCATTTGGGGCTAATGACGCCTGGCACGGCACCAAAGAACTCAACTATTTAGTAATATAATGGAAAAAAGCACGACCTCTGGCTGCTGGCGATAAGAATTAGATGACACACTATGGGCGCATTCAATGAATCAGTAGACAATGCAATGTGATAAGCAAACGCAGTTGCAAGTGAAGGCAAAGGATGATTGGCCCAATCAATTGAATTGATGCTATAGTCATATTATACAAGCAATACCTTCATGCATTGCAGAAAGGGGGCAAAAATCGAAGTCGAATTAGGAAACATGGCTTGGCAAGTATGCCGCCTGGCTTATCAGTCGGCGGTGGACCAGTTCGAGTCTTGCACGGCTTATCAGCGGGAAATGAAGCGCGGCGTAGCGAAAGTGGGCGACACAACGACTTGGATTATCTGCACATCCAGCCGATGTTTACGGATGGGCTAAAGCCCATCAAAGCCGCTGCTCATGTGCGCCGGCATGTGACTGAGCGGACAGCCTAGACTGCTGGACTTATCTGGACTTTTGGAGGCAGCCGCGCAGCAGCAGTGCCAGTGCCAGTGCATTCACACTCGCAGTGGCTCGTGACTCAGACGAGTGGTTGGCGTCGTCACAAACGGAAGAGTGCGTCGCGTCCAACTATGCAAACAAAGTCGGACAGAAGACAAAGGCCCAAAAATAATGCATTAATCATCGCACAGCCAGCCCTTGTGTTACCGGAGAACACTTGTTGTTTGCCTGGCCCAGCAAATCGAACTTGAGCCCCCGATGATTCGGAAAGAACTCACCTTGAACGTGTGCCATTCCTCCATGACCACGTCGGCGAAGGAAATGGCCTGGGCCACCGCCAGCAGGGCCAAAAGTGGCAGCAAAACAGCCGTGCGCATTGTGGGCAGTCGCGGAATCTGCAAGAAATCGCACAATTAGTAAGTCGTCTTCCAAGCGGAGTGCCAGTCACGTGAAGCTTCATCAGATACAAAACCAGATGGCTCACTAGACTGGTCTTGTTTAGCTTCTAATGTAAATAGATATTCTAAGCTGCAGCGATAAAGGAAAGTTGTGAATGACTGCGTTTCGTGCATGATTCATACTAATATGTTGTGGTTAATTAGCTTAATTTGTGCTTTTAACTTAAAAGTGTGCTAATTTTAAGTTGTCTGGTGCAAAGGCCTTAGTTTTATCTTGAGAACTTGTCACTAGCCTAAACAATTGTAAATCATCTTCATACTTTAAAGTTTTAAATACATTTGTGATGATTAAATTGTACAATATTCAACCAGACTCTCAGTTGCATTTTTTGCAAAATATATATAATAATTTTAGATAAGTCATTACGTTAAAAAAAGAAAAAAATGTATAACAACATATGTATATTATTTTAGAAGTATAGAAAATAGTGCAAGACGAGAATGGAATAAATAACGGATCAAATCGAAACGAACAAATTCTCAGATTAGCTTCTTTTTTCGATTTCAGCGAAAAAACATTTTTTCCTCTTTATTGAAATAAACATTTATAAAAGGTTTGCCTGATTGGCGGGCGCACGTAAATATATTGACATTAGCTTTGTGATTCAGTTTAGTTTGTTATTTTTCGATGGCGAGTGCGTTATCTTATCGGCCATTCCACTTTGCCGTGCAGCTTCTCATTGCTTTTCAAAAAGTCTGCCATTTTTGCGCGATTTGTTTCACTTGCTGTTTTCCTATCTTTGGCTTGCCATTTTGAGAAACGTGAGAGGCATTTGATAAAAGTTGTTATTTACTAGTTGTGGCCCTGCGATTTGTGCCAAGTTCGAGGGCGCAAACGGGTTTCAAAACTCCAAGGTGATTCATCTGGCTATCAGGTACCAGATAAAGCCAACAAAGACTAGAAAAATAGGTCAGCAAAATGGGAATTGGGCAAAATCTAAACAAAGAAGCGCAACAGTATGTGAAGCGCAAAGCAAAAGGGGCAATAAAAAGGGGAATATACGCAGATGCCGACTGTTGATTATATGTAATATAAAGGGCAATTAAAGTCTAAATAAGAAGCCACACGGGCATGACGCAATTAAATTCAACAAGTCAATACGAAGTATTTGATTGGCATTAAAGCAGGGCAGGTATTTTTGCGTTCTTAACTTTAAATAAACTAAAAACTCAACATTTATCACTTACCACTCGGAATTGCGTCGCAAGGAATGCAAAAAAAATCACTGATTTAACACTGTTGTTGCACTCTCTTTAAATGGCAGCAACTACGCTAATGTGCAAGTCAGCCGATTGTATTTATCAAGTGGCTATTGATGATCCAGTCGCTAAGACCTTTCGTTGTTTAATGAAAAACAGCAGAAATTGTTTAAACAAGAAATCTCTGGCAGAGTGACCAGTCAGAATCTTCTGGAAATAGCAGAAGTTCCCTTGGGCAGACGCTTAATCGATAACAGTGGGGGCAGTGATGGAGTTCTGGCTTTAAAACGGCCAAATCCAGCTAGTTTAGTTCAATCCTTGAATCAAAATAATTATTTAGCCGAATTATATGCAAGAGCTTTTCGGACATTTGTATGTTAATTCGTTTGTATATAAATTAACTATTCATTAAAAATAATATTTTTTTGTGGTAAGTGCAAAATTCTACTTCTTTGCCAAGCTTGCTTTGAAAACAATTTATTTCTCTTGTTACTTTTGCAATCCTTTTGCAAGATTCCTAAGTCACATTGCTTACTGAATTCGAATTAAATGAAACTGTTTTACCAATCAACATCTAAATTAAAATTTAGTTCAACAGTAATGCGAAATACCAAATGTTAGGAATCGTCTGTTGATGGTAACACTGCGCGGGTAAGAAGAAGACAAATTTTGCTCGTCATCCGCAGTTGGCGATTCACTGAATTTTTGATAATCCCAGCAAATTCAACACATTATATATCCCGTAAGTAGTGCAGCGTCTACTGATAACCCCCCAACCGAACACGGAACCACAAACGCCTTGAATTATGAGCCGAGGAACGTCGTAATTACAGTCCGCACTCTATCTAATCTCCGCCAGCTCTCGAGAAGCGCCCGCATCATGTTCGGAAGACAAAGTGGACTGGGCAGTTCCAGCAACAGCAGCAACCTGGTGGAGTTCCGCGCCGGCCGCATGAATATGGTGGGCAAGATGGTCCATCCGGATTCGCACAAGGGCCTGGTCTACATGACCCAGAGCGACGACGGCCTGATGCACTTCTGCTGGAAGGATCGCACCTCCGGCAAGGTGGAGGACGATCTCATCGTTTTCCCCGATGACTTCGAGTTCAAGCGCGTGGAGCAGTGCAAGACGGGCCGCGTCTATGTGCTCAAGTTCAAGTCATCGACACGCCGCATGTTCTTCTGGATGCAGGAGCCCAAGACGGACAAAGACGACGAGCACTGCCGCCGCATCAACGAGCTGCTGAACAACCCCCCCTCCGCGCACCAACGCGGCGGCGGCGGCAGCAACGACGGCGACCTCCAGTACATGCTCAACAATATGTCGCAGCAGCAGCTGATGCAGCTCTTCGGCGGCGTCGGCCAGATGGGTGGTCTCAGCTCGCTGCTGGGCCAAATGAAGTGAGTACTAATTACATATATCTGCCAAAGTGCCTAAGAATTAGCGAAGGAGTTAGCTACTTTTCTTCAGGGGCAACCACTTTAAAACTTTGCAACTTTCAAATATTTAATGTTTATAACATTAAACAAACATATCCGTTTGATTAGCTAGTTCTTAGAGTTGCCATTAAACTAGAACTTAACCTATTTCAACATTTTTCATTCCTATTTTTCTTTGCAGCTCCCGGACGCCCTCGTCACGCAACACCTCATCATCGGGTGGCGGTGGGGCATCGGCCTTGCAGACGCCCGAAAACGTCAGTGTGCCGCGCACTCCGAGCGCCCCATCGAAATCGGGCAGCAGCCGCAGCAGCAGCAATGTGAACTCGCAGGTCGGCGAAGGTGCCGGCTCCTCCGTTGATGCGGATGCCTCCGGTAAGAACTCAACCACATCGACCACAACGGCGTCAGAATCGACCGGAGCGTATGCCAATCCATTCCAAGCCTACTTATCCAATCTCTCCCCCGAACATGGCGCAGGACGATCCCTGAATATTGACCTATCAACGGCCCTATCCGGCGCCGATGCCATCAATCAGCTTATTGCCGATCCGGAGCGTGTCAAGTCGCTGATCGTGCACCTGCCCGAGTCGGAGGATGCGGACGAGGATCGCAAGCAGCAGATCAAGGACCACATCACCTCCCCGCAGTTCCAGCAGGCCCTCGCCCAGTTCTCCAATGCCCTGCAGTCGGCTCAGCTGGGACCGGTGGTCAAGCAATTCGAGCTGTCCAACGAAGCAGTCGCCGCCGCCTTTTCCGGCAATCTGGAGGACTTTGTGCGCGCTCTGGAGAAAAGCCTGCCCGCCGGTGCCACCATGGGTGGCGAACCATCCGCCAGCGAGAAGAAGGGCAGCGATCCCGAGACCCCAACTTCAGTGGCCCGCGATGAGAACACAGATCCCGCTGCCGAAAAGCAGGAGGAGAAGCAGAAATAGCTTGAGTTTGCGGCTTGGTTATGATTGAGATGCAATCCGAAAGCATATTTTTTCATGTTCAAAGTGATTTTTGGATTCTGAATAAATTCAAATTGGAGTTAAATAGAAGTTATTGATCTTATTTTGTGATGAAATAGCGTTTAATTTACTTTCATGATTGAATATATTCTGAAAAGGCTTATTAACTTATATAGGTTTTTTATTTGAAATATTACTTTTTAATTATAGTTAAATGTAAGTCAGCCTTCAACTTTACTTAGAACTAACTAAAAAAGACACAGAATGCATCCTTCAACTCCAAATAATTGAGTTTTTACATGCTCACCTGACTTAAATTTAAAAATAGAAAGTCGAACTTTTACAATTTCACCAGAAATTACAAAATGTAAGTATTCGGAGGATATTCGGAAGTAACGGGAATATTAATCCCGACAAGGTCATTTTGTTGGTGTCCCCCTAACAAAAGCTCGCTGCCCCGCTCTCTCATCGCAGCGCACTGGTCGTCCCTTTCTGGCGCGAATTGCGCGCTCTCTTGCTCTCAGCGAGCCGTCTCACACAGATATATACACACACAGGCACACGCAACAATATTTATTTTATTCAATTCCAAAACGGCCAGCCAATAAGTTGTGTTTGTGCAAAACTCGCGCGTTCGCAATTTTCTGTAGCTGACTCTCAAATCTCATACAAAACGATCTCAAGCGATCTCCGTTAGGCGAATCAAACCCGGATATATCCAGATCTGCAGTAATTACCATATTTTTTCGCCAATTTTTGTATTGCGGGCTGGATGTTTTGTATCTGTTGTTGTTGGTGCTTTCATTTTGCAGCAATCTGTGTGTGTGTGTGTGTGTGTGTTGGTGCTTTTGGCGGACGTGAGATTGTGTGTGTCTGGTGGCAGCCTGTATGTTTTTTTGCATGACTGCTTCGCGGAGCTGTTGGAAAAGCTTTTCCCTGCAAAGTAGTCTTGATACAAAAGTTAAAAGCCGCGGCAAAAACAAAAATCAAAGCAAAAACAGAAAACGCGAAGAGAGAGGGACAGTGATAGAGAGAGAGAGAGAGAGAGAGCGCGAGTCAAGTCGAGTCCCACACGCACACTGACAACGTTTGACTCACTCGTACACGCACACACTCACGCGCGGTTAAAAAGGCCTGGAAGCTTGCAAAAAATAAAACTAAATAAAATAGGAGCTGCTTAAAAGTGTGTGTTGTCAAATAACCAAGTAAACAAAAAGCTCCCCGGACTCGCAAATTCATGCATATCTCCGGCGCAACGATCTGGCAACACCAACAACAACAGCAGCAGCCACACAAGAAACTGCGTTTTAACCAATTCCATTTCCATTTCCTGCACTTATCTTTCTAGCTTCTTCCAATTAGTGCTGGAAAAGTAACGTCAGTAACGGTTTAAATCCAGTCGAGACGCAAACCCCACTCCACTCCTTAATGAGTTCCCCTCCATTAAACGGAAATCGCCACAAAAAACGTCTGATTTGCCGCTGATAAAGCTGATAAAAGCGCACATACACACACCAAAGTCAGCTGCAATTTTGCGATAAGGTTAGTAGTACATCATTATGAATCTTTGATTTTGCCGGCAAATCGAGGCTTCCAGAACAGCTGCACGAGCTGCAAGTGAAATGGAGGTCCCCGAAATCAAAAAAAAAAAAAAAAACAGGAGAAAAGAGGAGAAAAAAACCAAAACACTAATGGCGCCTGAGCATATGCTTTGGGAAATTTTCAAGAGCGCCAAGCGAGAGAGCTCGGGGGTGCGAACGGGACAACCGTACAGACAGTGTTTATGTTTTGGTAGAAAGGTCACATCCTTAGCTTCCAATAGAACTTTCGTTCGTTACTATCCCCGCCACCCACGTCCCGCGTAAATTACGTCAGGAATCGAAGAAGAAGTTCGTTCCGACAGGCTTACATGCCCTAGCACTTGAATATCATTTCTACTATATAGTGAAATCCAACAACGATTAATATCTTATCAAAACATTAAAGAATTTTACAATCTATGAGTAACTTACTTATAACAAATCCACGTAAAACATATTAAAGTAGTGTTTGCTATAATTAAACAAACCCTTTCTTACGTTTCTATGCGCTATATTTTAAATGTATTATCGGTTTCAAAAACTTAAATTTGCCATGTTATGCATGCCTTTCGTTTGGCCGGGTAGGTTTTACAATTTTTGCGCAGATTTAAGGATACGCAAACCCCAATTTGCAAACCTATGATCGAAGCTGTAATACCTCGTGTAAAACTTCAAAATTTTAAAGTGGGTGGTGAAAGTTTTTACGACGCGACTCCTTCAATGTGGCAAACCAACAGGCAGGGAGAAAGCTTGCAGCCTGACATTGAACTTGGGCACTCTGAACGGAATTCTATTAATCACAGGGTGCCGCAGCTTTTTGGGGCAACTTTCACCAACCATTTTGCAGCTGCCACACTTCAACAGATTGTTGCCAGTTGCAGCCATCGATTTCATCGCACATACGTGCATACACACATACACATATTCATACATTCGTAGCGCGCCATTTCAAAACTTTAGCTCAAAGCTTGCACTGTACAGTGCACTTTCTTCCTGTACTCCCATTAGAATAAGACTCAAATTCATCTCAACAGCTGTCTTGGCGGCTGAGGAGCTTTCCCCATTGCCTGTTGCACTGTTGTTTTCATTACAAGGATGTAGATCATTCAACAAATTAACAACAGTAACAAATGTATGCAAACTAGCAGAGTTAATTGGTCAAAGACGCAAAGGGTATACTGGTCCACCCCAGCCACGACCACTTTGCATGGCCCATTTGGTCGACTTCCTCCGGTCCAATTACCAATGGGTCCTCCCGCCCCATTGTGATTATAAGCTTTGAACGCTGACATCAGCAAGCGCAGCAAACAGCCGTCGCAGCAGCAGAAGGAGCAGATGATTTTCCGGTTTGCCAGGGACCGAAAACTGGTTTTGAATGGGGAAAAAAGAAACCCAAACCAACGACAGGCTGACCGAATCGAGCGCTGCCCTTTTGCACAGTCGGGCCAATAAGACAATACAGTGCGGAGTGTTACATGTTAGAGCTTATATATTTTGAAAAGTACGTGTGCGGAATTAGACAAGACATTTTGCTCAGAAATCGACGGGCTTGATGGTGATGAACCGGGAGAGAATGAATGCCACCAGAATGGTGGCGCACACGAAACAGAAGGCGAACATGTAGAAGCTCTCCTCGGTGAAGATGTCGGAGAAGGCGGGTATATCCTGGTAGATCTTCTCGATCACCGCCAAAGTTCCTTTGTGCTTCCTCACCATCCTGATGGTTACTTCTTCTTGGTTGCCTTCTTTCCGCCGCCGGCGCCTCCTGCAAGCTTCTGTTTCTCCGCCTTGGTCAGGACCTTGTTGGTGATCTCCTCCCGCGGTGCCAAGCTGGACACGTGCTTGTTGCACAGCTGCAGCAGCTCAAGTGTATTCAGGTTATCGCTGTTGAAGCGGATCTCCTTGACTTTGGCTTGTTCTGTGAAGGATGTAATATAAATTAGTGTTTGCTTTTTGGTTAATGCAGTGGTTTACTGAGCTGTTCACGCTTCAAGGAAACCAAATTGCTATCAATTTGGGTTCCTTTTTGGGCAGATTGCAAGTGGCCCAGTTTTGATTGCAAGAAGTAGACCGTATAGATGTCTCACCTTGCGCTGACTCAATCAGGGCAAACTTGATGTTGGCTGGCTGGCGATCGCAGACGATTTCCGGCTTGACCACGCACTTGGGATTCGTGCCTGCCACTTTGGGTGTGGAGAGCAGGAAGAGGAATTCTCTGCAATTCGAATAGAAACATATATTATTGATTTTTCATCGCGATTTCCTTGATTTTCCAGGAGCAGCGACGCCGCCTCAAACTGACGCCGACACCGACTAAAATGTCCACGGAGCGTGAGCTGGCTCCTGGTGGGCCAGCTCAGCTCCATCCGCACACGTTGCCGCTGACTTTTCCGGATCTCCAGATGACCTCCGCCGTGGGCATCATTGGGAAAGTCTACGGTGAGTGTGGCACCCAATCATTTCGCCCAATCACCTTTTAAGCCCTCAAAGGATCGGTTTTTATGGTGTGAATACTTCGCTGCACCCTTTTTGGTTTTCCTGAGTTCCTCTTGCTATGATTTTCTTTTTTCCTTTCGATTTCGTGAAAATTCTATCCAACTGAGTGGGGAGTGGGGCGGTACTGCGCATGTCCCGCTATCGGTATCGGTGGAAAGCGCTTTTCCGACTCACCGTGTGGACTTGACGTTTTCCGCGAATGGATCGAACTGCACGGTTATCCGCTTGACGCCCTTCAAATTCACGCTCTTCAGCTGCTTGCCAATGGCGGACACAATGCCGCCGGAACGCCGCAATGCGCCACTGAATGGCACAGACATTATTTATGTTTTTCTTAGCGCCAATGAAAACTGCGGTTTTTCCGCACAAAAATTACGACGTAACAAGCACGCTACGTAACAGCTGAGTGGCGATGACGATAACTCGGCCAGTCACGATGACCGCCGATAGTTTTACAACACTGGCATTGGCGCGTTCAAGCAACCCTGCCTCGCTATGCCCAGTCCGCCGCTTATATAGTCATCTCGCTCCCACGCACGGCCGCGGGCGAGAGTGCTTTGCCCTCATTTAAGTGTGGTTAAGAGTGTACAGCATGCGTCACGCTCACACGTCGCGAGTACAATTTTTGTGTGGACGTCCAGTGTGTGGCTGCTGTGGGAAAAGCTGAAGAAAATTGCATTTTTTGCATAATGCGCGGCGTGAAAAGCTAACAAAAGTTGTGCTAAATCAAAATTCGATAGTCTGGCCACGGTTTGTGCATAAGAGCGGGCGGCGCGAAAGTGTTTGGTGCACAAAAACCACGTCTCGAAAAAGTCAAGAATTCTACGTGCACACATTTTTTGGGCTGCCATATATAAAAAAAAGAAGAAAAACGCATACAAACGCATTTTCTTGCTGTATATGCGGTGGAGCACACACACACACACACAGAGGCAGACACGCATACAATTGCACTCACAAGATATACGAGCATAAAGAAGAATTTTTTCTTAGTTGTATTACAAGAGCATTAGATACATATATAAGTATATAAATATACATATATACACGCCTAGGTGTGTACATAACGGATACATACATATAAAATTAAACGAAAGCTGTGCCTACATTTGTGTTCTTTTCCAATACTAAAATAACAACAACAAACAATAATAATAATAATAACCATAATATAATTAAAATAATGCAAGTCGAGCGAGAGACAGCGACAAGATAACACACCCACTTGTCTGCTGCTAATTCCAATTTATATAAAATAAGCCTACGCCACGCCCACGCGCAACTACAACAACAAAAGAAAAACAAAACAAATGCAAAATCAACCAAACGAATAAAACTTTAAACTACTTTAAAGTGTGATAAGCAAAAGGCTGAAATCAAAAACAAAAAACAAAATAATTAGTAGAAAACCAAAAGCAAAGGCAACAACAAAAACAACCACAACAACAAAAACAAAAAAGAAAACCAACAATCAATTACATTTTACACCAAAACACGAAAAGCAAACACGAGCCAACATTTTTTACATTAATTATTTTTCTTAAACCAAAACCTAACTTAGTGCAAAAACATGTATCCAGTTGGACAACGTAAGTGGCTGTCACATGATGAATGAAACTAAAAGAACCGATAATTTCCAGACAGAACAAAAAGGGGAATTCCAAAATATGCGACTGCTGTCACAAGTTTTCCCACAACATATCGCCCTGCCCCTCGCCCACCCACCAGCCCACTAATCAAGTTTTTGATGTTCCACTTGCACCTATGTGTATGTGGTACATGTACATGCTCGTACGTACACATGTGCAACTGCCACACAGACAGGCACGTGCGTCAAAGTGCAGAGTGCAGAGTTGAAAATGCGCAAAAATTGGGTCAACAACCTTCGACGCGTCGCAATAGTTTCCAGCTTTTCCGGGGGTTGCTCAATTGGCGTCTTTTTCTTTTTTTGGGGCCACATCGTATCGTATCGCATCGTATATGGATCTGGGTTTTTGAAGAGCAGTCACTCCCAATTGCGTCGCAATTTGCTACCAATTGTGCGTATTTCATTTAAATATTTGTGCTTCAATGGGTTGAAAGCGTAAAAGGCGGCGAATAAAAGAGTTTGCTGGGTTAGAGAACGTAAAATACTTTTATTGTGATTCTTTTGTTTGCAAACTGAATATTTAATGGGAACTTAACACCAGAGAGAGCCAACATAGGTTCCACTTTACAATTCGTTGTCGCATTATATCAAGCAAGCATAGGATTAGAATCTATAAGCGAACTATAGGATATACGCACTAGCATCTATGGATAATAATACAAATATATAGCTTAGGACCAAAGATTGTGATTCAACTAATCCATTGAGGGAGCATAAAGTTTACTTTGATGGCCGAAACATTTGGTAGAACATCAAAACTTACCCCAACTTACTTATGAAATAACAGCAAACTATTAACAATATGGTGGCTAACCCGGGACTTGGATATGCATATCAAATACCCACCCGACCCACTAAGCAACTGGCCAAGGGGCAAACAACTTGTGGCAGCAGGACATAGACACTCTCTATAGACACCACAAAATATAACCCGAAACACACAAATATATATACATATTGATAACGATGATGAAAGAAAACTGTAACTAAAATATTATTAACGCACTTTAATTTCGTTTTCTTTTCGTTCGTTACCGCCAACTGTTTTCGGTTCTACGACATCGTTCCACCATTGACATTATCATTTCGATTCCCTATCATTGACAACAAACCAACCATCGATTGGCCATTTGCCCCATTTGCCATTTTTGATTTGAACCTCTTCATTTCCATGTTCATTTGATTACCTTGCGTTGATTTGATTACCTTTTCTTTTATAGAGTCACAGTGGACCCCCTCGCCCACTCGGCCTCAGAGTCCCTCTCAGGCGCAGACTAGCTTCGACACGCTCACATGTAAATTACTCTCCAAGAACCAAAAGCGATTACTAAAATTACTAAGATCCTTATGCAATTTGATTGATTCGAAACGCTATACCGAACTGTTTGTGTTTACGTTCTTTAGTTTGGTGTTCCCAACACAACCCACTAACTAACCCACTAACCCATCCCTCAAACTAATCCGTAATCCTTTTTGCCGTAATGTTACTAACAAAAACTAACAAAAACACAAAAACCAAACCTTACAACTAACTTTTTGAACTTTTATTTCGTGTAAATGTTTGTTTCTTTGTACCATGCAAAGTGCACTTGAAGTATTTCTCTACACCTGAACTAAAACACCTACAAACACCTGTTTGAATTTGAATTTGTAAAAGTTTCTGTCTTACGCTCGTTGCATGATCATTTTTTGCTTGTAGCAATTGAGGGTTAAGGTTTTCTCATACGCTAGTTTATCTCAGTGGAATACAGATTTCCAATTGATCAAGATATCTTCTATTAGGGTTTGTACCTTTAAATACTTCTCAGAATGTCAACTCTTCAAGAGAAGTAAATATAAAATACAAATAACACTGTCAGTACAATTATTACTTAACTTAAGATGCTCTAAGATCCAAAAGATCCTGAGATTTATACAAGCATGTGAGAACCAACCCAAAACGTACTGTTAGATATTGCCTACTATTTGCGTTTTTTTTTTTTTTTAAACTTTTAATAATTTGGAAATCGCATTTTTTGAGAGGAGACTAACTGGCAATTGACTTTACAGCACCACCAGCGCCCGGCTCGTCGGTCAATCCCACCGCCGTCACCAGTCCAAGTGCCCAGAATGTGGCCGCTGGTGGAGCAACTGTGGCCGGTGCAGCAGCAACTGCCGCCCAAGTGGCCTCCGCCTTGGGAGCCACCACCGGCAGCGTGACGCCAGCAATTGCCACCGCCACGCCAGCCACGCAGCCGGATATGCCCGTCTTTACGTGTCCACGACGTCCAAATCTCGGACGTGAGGGTCGCCCGATTGTGCTGCGCGCCAATCACTTCCAGGTGACGATGCCGCGTGGCTATGTGCATCACTATGACATCAATATACAGCCGGACAAGTGCCCGCGGAAGGTGAACCGTGAGATTATCGAGACCATGGTGCATGCCTACAGCAAGATCTTCGGAGTGCTCAAGCCTGTGTTCGATGGTCGCAACAATCTGTACACCCGCGATCCCCTGCCCATTGGCAATGAGCGTCTGGAGCTGGAGGTGACTCTACCCGGCGAGGGCAAGGATCGAATCTTTCGCGTGACGATCAAGTGGCAGGCTCAGGTCTCGCTCTTCAATTTGGAGGAAGCACTCGAAGGCCGCACCCGGCAGATACCCTATGATGCCATTTTGGCGCTCGATGTGGTCATGCGTCATCTGCCCAGCATGACGTACACGCCAGTGGGACGCAGCTTCTTCAGTTCCCCAGAGGGCTACTACCATCCCCTGGGTGGTGGACGCGAGGTTTGGTTCGGTTTCCATCAGAGCGTTAGGCCCTCGCAGTGGAAGATGATGCTCAATATCGATGGTGAGTTGGCTGCGCTCCATATTGTCTGTTTTCCAAACTAATTAGTGCTTACTCCACAGTCTCGGCCACCGCTTTCTATAAGGCTCAACCAGTCATTGACTTCATGTGCGAGGTGTTGGACATTCGCGACATCAACGAGCAACGCAAACCGCTCACCGATTCGCAGCGTGTCAAGTTCACCAAGGAGATCAAGGGTCTCAAGATCGAGATCACCCACTGCGGCCAGATGCGTCGCAAGTATCGTGTGTGCAACGTTACTCGCCGCCCCGCTCAGATGCAATCGTAAGAATTGTGCATTTTCAAACCCTTCTGCTGTTGCTAACCATGGTTATTCGTCACCCCTTTAGATTCCCACTGCAGCTGGAGAACGGACAGACCGTTGAGTGCACCGTGGCCAAGTACTTCCTGGACAAGTACCGCATGAAGCTGCGCTACCCGCACTTGCCCTGCCTGCAGGTGGGTCAAGAGCACAAGCATACTTACCTGCCTTTGGAGGTGTGTAACATTGTCGCTGGACAGCGGTGCATCAAGAAGCTGACCGATATGCAGACGTCGACCATGATCAAGGCCACGGCCCGTTCTGCACCGGATCGCGAGCGTGAAATCAACAATTTGGTTAAGCGCGCCGACTTCAACAACGATTCGTATGTGCAGGAGTTTGGCCTGACCATCTCCAATTCGATGATGGAGGTACGTGGACGCGTATTGCCGCCTCCAAAGCTTCAGTATGGGGGACGTGTGTCCACCGGACTCACCGGCCAGCAGCTGTTCCCGCCACAGAACAAGGTGAGCTTGGCCTCGCCCAACCAGGGTGTATGGGATATGCGCGGCAAGCAGTTCTTCACTGGCGTAGAGATCCGCATCTGGGCCATCGCCTGTTTTGCCCCACAGCGCACGGTGCGCGAGGATGCGCTGCGCAATTTCACCCAGCAGCTGCAGAAGATCTCAAACGATGCCGGCATGCCGATCATTGGGCAGCCGTGCTTCTGCAAGTACGCCACCGGGCCGGATCAAGTGGAACCCATGTTCCGTTACCTGAAGATCACCTTCCCAGGCCTGCAGCTCGTCGTGGTGGTGCTACCCGGCAAGACACCGGTGTACGCCGAGGTGAAGCGTGTGGGTGACACCGTTTTGGGCATGGCCACCCAGTGTGTGCAGGCGAAGAACGTGAACAAGACGTCGCCACAGACGCTCTCGAATCTGTGTCTCAAGATCAACGTCAAGTTGGGCGGCATCAATTCAATTCTGGTGCCCTCGATCCGGCCAAAGGTCTTCAATGAGCCGGTCATCTTTTTGGGTGCCGATGTAACACACCCACCAGCTGGCGACAACAAGAAACCATCGATTGCCGCCGTCGTCGGCTCCATGGATGCTCATCCATCGCGCTATGCCGCCACCGTTCGGGTACAGCAGCACCGACAGGAGATCATCCAGGAGCTGAGCAGCATGGTGCGCGAACTGTTGATCATGTTCTACAAGTCGACGGGCGGCTACAAGCCCCACCGCATCATACTCTATCGTGACGGAGTCTCCGAGGGACAGTTCCCACATGTCCTGCAACACGAGTTGACCGCCATCCGGGAGGCCTGCATTAAGCTGGAGCCCGAGTACCGGCCGGGCATCACGTTTATTGTGGTGCAGAAGCGCCATCACACACGACTCTTCTGCGCCGAAAAGAAGGAGCAGAGCGGCAAGTCGGGCAATATTCCCGCAGGCACCACCGTCGATGTGGGCATCACACATCCCACCGAATTCGATTTCTATCTGTGCAGCCATCAGGGCATCCAGGGCACCAGTCGCCCCTCGCACTACCACGTCCTGTGGGACGACAATCACTTTGACTCGGACGAGCTGCAGTGCCTCACGTACCAGCTATGCCACACGTACGTGCGCTGCACCCGATCCGTCAGTATACCGGCGCCAGCCTACTACGCCCATCTGGTGGCCTTCCGTGCCAGGTAAGCCATTGGATTCGTTTCCCCTTCCATTGGACGATGCTAATGCTAACTTCCTTTGCAGATATCATCTGGTGGAGAAGGAGCACGATTCGGGCGAGGGATCGCACCAGAGCGGCTGCTCAGAGGATCGCACGCCAGGTGCCATGGCCCGGGCCATCACTGTGCACGCGGATACCAAGAAGGTCATGTACTTTGCCTAAAAAGTATCGCCCCCCCCTAAACCAACACCAAAAAGCTAAAGAATACAAAATCAGTTTCGAATTTCGATTCGAATAAGCAACTCCCCACTTCCCTTCCTCAGATCAGAAAGCGGATGAAAGCCAAGCATAGTAGTTTAGAATTAAGTTATGTTTTACGTTGAGAGAGCGCGCGATGGGAGGAAAACCAACCAGAATACGAAGATCTTGCATGCATTAGTATATATAGTATATATAGTAAGCAGAGGAATGAAAATCCCACAAAGACACACAAACACCATCCACACACAAGAGCAGATAGCCACACAGTGAGAAATAATAGGAAATGATAGCCAATCGAATGTCAGGCACAAGTTTGCGAAATCGAAATCGAAGAAAAACACACAAAAAGTCGAAATGCGAAAGCGAAATGTGAGAATTCTCAAAAACAAGCGTAGCAAACAAATTGAATGCAAATAGGAAATCAACTAAAGGGAACAAAAACTACGACAGCAACACCAACCAACAACACCAGAAAACTAAATAAAACAAAGCAGAAAATTAAGAAAGTGAAATCAAGTGAAAAGCGTCATCAACACGAGAGAGAGACAAGTTTTGTAATAGAAATTACGATTAAATTGTACAATATATTTTTACACGATACGAAATGAAGACATGATGAATGATAATGAATGAATGCATACAACCAAAGGTTTTTAGTATACAAAATGAACACGTTGCTGATCGACTCACACAGCAAACACCACAAGAACACCAACCACTCGGATTCTCTGTACTGTGAACGAAGACCACCACCAAATTGCAAACAAAAACCACAAGCGACATTAAAGCGACAGAAAGCGAAGCATTGAAAGAGTGTAGACACAACTTAGCATGTACGTGTACTAATGAAAATACTTCAATAACTAGGGCGCTGACAAAACCGAGCAAGAACATTTAATAGTTTGTAAGTTGGGCTCTACCTAAAACAGAAGACAAAAATCTAAAAACAAAAAACAAAAAAAAGAATGCAGATGAGTTAGGTGGGCGATTGGGCGAGAACTGCAATTTCAACAAGGGACAAACTTTTGGTCAAAACAATAGCTATACTTATAGAGCAGAGCCTAATTATATACATACATACATACCTAAGCCTAGAACTAACATTTAAAGTTTTTACGAAACGAAAACCAAGCGGATGAAGGAAGTGTAACAATGTAGAATACTTAAATTCAAAAGTGAAAATAACACGGTAGCAGCAGATTTGTTACGTTGGCAGTGCTGATATTTTATGTTAGTCCTTAGTTTACCCTCTTGTATGCACCACACAGTCAGACTACGAACTTCTCCCCTCGTCGAGTCCAAGGCATATCACTCAATGTCCTCTTATTTATGTACCTCCTACACACTAAGCCTAACGATATTTAGTTGTACCTTATATATATATTTTTTTAAAAACGAATGCCTAACGAAATTTCTGTTGATTTCCTCATGTTGATCCTACGAATTGGAATATTGGCTTCTTTCGCAGCTGCTTTTCGTTGTAATTTCGTATTAATTAACTTTAGATCAAAGTGGTGTACGGGTAATATAAACAATGGTAACTCTTCTCCACCGTCCGCCGGAGGGAGGTGGTGGCAATAACATTTCAATATTTTACAAACTAGTTTTAGTTTCGCCAAAATCAACAAGCAACAGCAAAAAAACAAACAAACAAACAATATCAATATCAATATGAAACGTATGCTTAGTAATTGTACTATATCGAGGACACAGTTCAAGTTAACATTATGATGAGTTGTTATTTATGCGGTGCGGGCGACGACGATCTCCTCCGACTTCCGACTCTCCCGGGCCAAACCTAATTTATAATTGTGTACATCCTTCACAGAACCTTTAATTTAGATTTAGTTTCCAAGTTCGCAAGCTGTTTTGCCAATCGTACATTATGTGAGCATTATAAAATACATAATATATATAAATCGATATGCTTATATTTAATCATTTATTGCACTTACAAATTAGTTGGTAATCCTCAAAAAATACATGTAAAAGGAAAAAACAGAACGGAGGGAGCTCACAGTCCCTCAAAATGTTGAATCGAACATTTAGAAATCTCTTTCGATTTGAAATCAGTCATAAATCACTTGCGAGCTACTGCATGATTTCAAATCACTTGATGTTTCAGTGGTAGCACAATTTGATATTGTCTTTTTAAATTTGGCATTCTGCCAGTTTTATATCTCTTGCTGAAATTGTAATTTTAAACCAGAGTTAACTTTTTATGAAGCCTTTAGCTGCAAAAATTGTTTCAAATTCGACTAGTCCTTCCAACGAGGCTCAACATAGCTGATATTAATAGCTTATTAATTAATTAATATTAATTAGTACTGCGTTTAGATGCGATTAACATTTTGTGGGGCTGTGCAATCAATGTGTGGGCGTATTTGTTGACTTATTCATTTTCCATTTATTTAACGTTTTTCTAGTAACGTTTCTACACAAGGGATTAAAATTTTAAACTTATTTCTTAATGTTTACTTAAACCAACCCTATGCAAAAAACAACAAAAACCAACAAAAAAAAAAACGAATCAAACAATTTTAGTTTTAAGCAAAAACGATAACGAAACAATGCAAAGGAGTTCGATTTGAGATCGCCCAGAAAGAACCAACATTTACATTATATATTCACTTAGTTTAAGCTGAAGCTGAAATGTGTGCCGACAATGAATGCATCTCGTAGTTGTAAAATGAGCGAAATATTCAACAATAATTTACTTTACCACACAATACATGAGAAAGTCCAAAGCTTTAACTACTCGCAGCAGAAAGCGGAACGAATGAAGCGGAATATCGGTGGGGAAAAGCCCACACCAATCCACTAATCCACTAATCACTAATGAAAATGCCAATAACAAGCTGCTATCTCCTCCCATCCAAGAAAAGCTAGGCTGTAACAGTTGTCCCTATATACACGCGTAAACTTATATATAGCAAAGCTGGATAACTCCGATTTTCCCCCCAAAGAACAACTCACACACGCTACAATTTCAATGGTTTCTTCAGTGTCGTGCAGCAAAACAACAAAAACAAACAAAAAAAACAAGTTGGAGGAGAAGATTGGAGATAGATCGTGGAGGAGCGCCTTAGATATCATTTCCAAACTATGTTCTGCTCAGAGGCAAGGCCCAATAAAAGACAAGAAGCCGGGATATCCACATGGGAACTTACATTTTTATCTGTCAAAATTCAATTGAGCTTTAAACTAAAGATAGATCGAGAAAAACGAAAGAAAAGAAAAAAGAAAATGAGGTAAAAACTTGAACAAAAAAAAGAAGAGGAGAGATAAGTAAGAAATAGAAAGGGATCGCATTGTTTCTACATATTACTTATAAATGTGCCGTTTATAGATGTCTACAATTATATACAAGAAATATAGATATATACCTAGATATATAATCAGATCGAAATCGAAGCTAGAACAGCAATTTGCACAACTCTTCCTAAAGGAAATAAAAAAAAGTAAATACAAATACAAATCTAAATCTAAATCTAACGTAACGATTAAATTATATGCCACAATTACCGAGATTTCAAGAAGTGACGGACTAACTCCAAGCAATTAAGCGTTATATTTGAATAACTTATGAACTTATGATACCATCATATATGTGTGTACTCTATACTCTTCCAACTACACCCAGAGTCCCACTCGAACCCGGACCACATGCGCGATCCCCATAGCCATTAGCCCTTAGCCACCCACACACCCACACCCACACCCACAACCTCCACTCTCGACGTAGTGTTCCAAATGCGCATCAGATCAGATCGGATAACCCTTAGCTGAAATTCGACTAGCAAAATCAATACGATAGTAACACTTATTCGTGCGTTAAGATTAGGGAGATCATCTGGTACATACCTTACTTTAAAATCAACCAAAATGCCGGGTAATTAATCAATAAAATACATATTATTAGTTCTAATCTAAGAGGAGTAAACAAAAACAAAAACGAAACAAAAATACATCAACAATATGATAAAGAAAATTAAGCAACGTGAGCAACGTAAAATGGGAAATCTGTAACTTTGGTGATCTTTTTAAATGTTATTAGTAAAGGAAAGCAAAACAAAATCAAGTTTAATGACGAATACAAATCAAACCAGTTTTAAATGTGACTTAAATTACGACGTAAACGACATTTTTCCACAGCATTATATGTATGTGTAACAAGACAAAATAAAACAAAAAAAAAAAAACCGAGTTTGTGAAATATGCAATTTAACGAAAGTTGATGATCTTTTCGATATAATTCTGTCAAGCTGTCTAACAATTAGTTATAAGCGCTTCAATACCAGATACCATCAAACAAAAATCAACAAACTCAATTAAGTTAAAGAAAACACAATTATATTTAACAAATCGTATATGTTTTATACAAATTTCAATTATTTTTATCGATTTCGATTTGATTTCTAAACATACGAAATGTACCCATCCCTTGTAAAACAAAAACGATTTTAGTTTGCGTTTAAAGTAAGAAAACAGCATATACAATTCATTTTTGTTCAATAAAAATATATTTAACTAAACATTCGCCCTGCCTTTTGAGTTCAGCTCTCTGCTACGATGCTTTCAGTTCTGAGGAAATCATTCCCAAATGTGGTCATCCATGCCAATCGCATGGTCAGGTGCAAATCCAGCCAGGACAAGTGCGCCAGGAACGCCTTGATTATCCTGGCCCCGGGTGCCGAGGAAATGGAGTTTACCATATCCGCCGATGTGCTGCGAAGAGGAAAGGTACCTAATCCAATGATCTGGATCCTACCGCTTGAAATTATATCTTCCGCTTTCATTTCCCTTGATCCTAAGATCCATGTTACCGTGGCGGGCTTGCAGGATTGCGAGCCGGTCAAGTGCTCCCGGTCTGTGGTCATTGTGCCGGACACTTCGCTGGAGCAGGCCGTGAGCAGGGGCGACTACGATGTGTTGGTCCTGCCTGGCGGATTGGCCGGGAACAAGGCGTTGATGAGCTCGTCTGCCGTTGGCGAAGTGCTGCGTTGCCAGGACTCCAAGGGCGGCCTGATTGCCGCCATTTGCGCCGCTCCCACGGCGCTGGCCAAGCACGGCATCGGCAGGGGAAAGTCCATTACCTCGCATCCGGATATGAAGCCGCAGCTGAAGGATCTTTATTGGTAGGCTCCCCGGTATTACTTTCTTATGATATTACCACATTTCTGCTGACTACGCAGTTATATAGACGACAAGACTGTCGTGCAGGATGGTAACCTTATCACCAGTCGTGGTCCTGGCACAACTTTTGACTTCGCCTTGAAGATTACCGAGCAACTGGTGGGAGCTGAAGTGGCCAAGGAGGTGGCCAAGGCAATGCTCTGGACCTACAAGCCATGACGAGCACTGGAGTATAAGCTAATCATACGTATATTTCAGAGAAATTCAAGTATGGTGCATAACAATGTAGTTTTGAAAACAATGAGAGAACATCTGAAATGGATATACATTATTCTTATTGGCCTGTTAAGATGTGTACCTATTTCCCCACAGTAACCGTAGCCGAGTTACCCACCCAAATTCTACATCATAGTTTCCCATTTCTACCGCTGTCGCTTTATGCACATTTCATGTATGACTGCAGTAGCGCCTAGTGTGACCGTGCGAGGGCTTGAGCATAACGCCAGCGCACCGTGCGATTGCAAATGTATGGAAATAAAAGTAAAAGAAATCGTATCAACGGCTAGTTCGGCGAAACTCGGGAAATCGGAAGGTTCAACTTTGGGGCGGTCCGTGAATTTTTGCATTTTTGTGTGTTTTGGCGGAAAACGAAACCGTTATTGAGATATTGATGAATCGCAAACTGTAGTTACAGCTATCTAGAGTGTATGGAGTCCGAGATGCGAGATATATTCTCTTTAAATTTACGGGATAGGATCGTTGTTTGTGCCGCCGAGAGCACGTGAATCGTTTGTTGTTGTTGCGCCCGTTGCACTTGCAGCCAAAAGCGTGTGTATGTGTGCGTCCGTTGCATTGTGTGAGTGTAGACGGGTCATTAAATCTGCCGCTTCTTTTGCTGCTGCTCCTGCTGCTGTTGTTCTTTTTGTTTTTGGGTAAATTGCACAAGTGTAACGGTTTTCAAGAAGTGCAACAACCAAAGCGACAGCAGCAGCAACAACTGCAACAACTACAACACAGCCATGTAAAGTGTGTGTAACCAGAAACGCGAAAAAAGTGCAGTTCATTCAAACTGCAAACGAAATTGCCATAAATTATTGTTATAAGCTTTTGCGTTGCGTGATGAAAGGAAAACAGTGCAATTGCAAATGAAAAGCGCTGCGAGCGAAATGAGAAAAATAGTGGAAAATATTGTGTATATAACAGTGAATAGTGAAAATTAGCATAGAGCAGGAGCGAAAAGCCAAAACCAAAAAATAAATTAAAGCAGAAAACCAGGAAAATAGTGGAAGCAGCCACAACAAAAAGAGCAGAAGAGGATGAAAAACGTTTGCTGCACTTACACACTAAACACACACACAAATGCAATACCCACCCTCTCTCTTTGCGTCCTTTTCCCTGCTGCCACTCGCCATCACACTCTAACAACCGCCGCCGCAAACGCAATCGCTCTCTGACATGCGCCCTCTCTCGCTCTCACCCAGTGCACTTTCCGTGCCCTTTTGCGGTGCTCCTTTTCATGAGTCACGAACAACCGAGGCGAGAATAAACTGTGTAAAATACGAAGAAATTGTGCAAAAAGCGGTGACAGTGCAAACGACAAACAGCCGAAAATTCAGCAAACTTAAGCAAAGTGCAATGTGCTAAATGCTTAAATGCCAAAAGCCGGAATAAAAGCCACCATTTGTTCCTTGTTGGGTGTTCCTTATGTCTTCTTTTCCTCATTCGGCGGCGACTGTGTGTGAGTGGAATTTTTAAACCGACAGCCGCGGCCTTTTGCTGCGGGGGCGGGTAAACAAATTAAATAATTTGTTTATAAAACTGTGTCAGATCAAGAGTCATGTGTGAGCGCAACCCGCTCCCTCTGACGCAGGTGCGTTGATCTACAGTCGTGCCTGCCTAACCCAAACTGACCAGCCTTTGTTAGATAGCGGTATAAATGATGGATTGCATTATGTTGTGAGGGAGGAACCTGAACTTGCTTACTGCAAAAACTCGTATCAGATAAAACCTATTAAAAAACCCTCGATACATTCATTAATAAACCCATTCACAACTGGACTATAAGAATGCGTCAGTGGAACAGGGCTATTGGACCAGTCTTTGCAAAAAGTGTAAAAATTTCCATAGGAAAGTTCCACTGTACGATGACTTAGTTGCTGGCCGGCTAATCAAAGCAAAGTCAGCACTATAATTTCGCACTCTCTGCCTTCCGCTCTTTCTCGCCTATCTGGTCCACTCTATCTGCTCTCTATCTTTTTGTACTATCTGCTAAGCATTCGCCCTTGTGTTTTTTATCAAATGCTTGTTCTAATTAGCAAATGCTTTACTTTTTGTCATTGTGTGTCATAAGCGTA